GTGTGTGTGTGTGTGTGTGTGTGTGTGTGTGTGTGTGTGTGTGTGTGTGTGTGTGTGTAATCTTGTTCATGTGAGGGTCGTCTTCTTTTGAATGCTTCTTCTATTCGCGTCTGCTTGTCAGTCTCACCCAAACACACACACACACACACACACACACACACACACATATAACCACCACCACCACCACCACCACCACCACCCCCACCATCAAGGGACCGGGATCGCTTTGGGCGCAACACGCTGCTCGGCTGCCTGTCCATCCCCTTCAGCACCGCCATCACGGAACAAGTCCACGGCCGCTTCCTGCTGCTCGACCGCGAGCGTGGCGCCGTGTCCTACCGCCGCCGCCCCACGGGCTCTGCCATCCGTCGCCGCATCAAGACCGCCAGCCAGTCCTCGGCGTCGCTCGACACGCGGTTGTGGCGGGATGCTGTGGCGCGCAGTCTGTACGACGCGTGCACGGAGAGCGAGCGGCGGCGACAGCAGGCCATCTTCGAGGTGGTGCAGAGCGAAGAGGCGTACGTGCGGCAGCTTCGCCAGTTTCTCGAGGCATATCCGCGGCTGGAGTTGCTGGACCACATGACGGAGCGAGACTACGAGGCGTGGTTCGGCGAGATTCGCGTCGTGCTGCAGCTCGCAGAGCAGCTGGTGGCTGAGCTGCGTGATGCCAGTACGGAGGGCCTGGTGCTGGGCTTTGGCGAAGTCATGGTGCGCCACTTGCAGGCGCTGGAGCCCGTGTACACCGCCTACTGCACCAACAACGCGCAGGTGACGGCCGTCATCACGTCGCATGCCAAGCGCAACCCTAGCCTGGCGGAGGTGCTGACACACGGCTGCACCATCTGCGGTGGCCTGGACATCCACAGCTACCGGCTCAAGCCGCTTCAGCGCATCACGAAGTACCCGCTGCTCCTGCGCGCGGTGTTGCGGGACACGGGCGACGACCACGAGGACTATGACGACACGGCTGCTGCGGACGAGTCGTGCCGGCGCATGGTCGACCGCATCAATGATGCTGTGCGCGCTGCGGAGTGGGCCGAGCACCTTCGCTACCTCGCCCAGCGGCTGGAGGTGCCGAAGAAGCTGGAGCCGTTCACCCTCAACCCGCCGGGCGTGCGCGTGCACCGCGAGTATGTGTTTCGCCAGCCCGCCACGGGCGCCAACAAGTGGCTTCGCTCCAGCGTGCGTCGCAGCCGCTCCCCTGCCCCTGGCCAAGGGCGGCAGAGTAATGGGCCGCGACCTATGAACAGCACGGAGCCACACCGGCAAGACGACGTCCCTGCTGGCGCTGTGCGCATCCTCCTGCTCTCCGATGATCTCTTGGGACCCTACCTCGTCCTCACAAAGGTGTGCGCCATGCAGTGGGAGATGTTGTTGAAGTGCGCGTGTCGGTGTACTTGCGTTCGTGTAAATGGGTGTGCATGAGGGTAGGTGTGAATTTGCATGAGTTCACATGTGAGCGTGACTGTGAGCGTGAGCGCGAGCGTGTGGAATGCGTTTGCGAGTGCCGTGAACGCGTGTGAGTGTGCATGTCAGGGGCGTAAATGGCATGCATGACGCACACTGCAGCATCTCGTCGTCGCCTATTTACCGCCAACGCGCACCCACCACCGTTATTACCACATACTAATTCATGCACAACCAACCCGCGACCAATTTGCAACCCACGAATCACCGTGCACCCTACGACCACCACATCACCCTAGGTGACAGATGCAGTGGATGTGCTGCTGACGCCACGTGTGCCCCTGGACTACGTGACGCTGCAGTCGTCGTCGTCTGGTGGTGGGCACTTCACCGCTGCGCGCATGAGTGATCCCCTCAAGTTTAAGCTGCAGGCCATGCTGATTGACCGCAGCAACCGCAAGGTCAACACGTCCCACGACCTTGTGGCCAACTGCGCAGCCGACTACCACGTGAGTGCCAGCGTGGTGACGGTGATGGTGTTGATGATGGTCATTGAGAAATGTGTGTGTGTGTGTGTGTGTGTGTGTGTGTGTGTGTGTGGTAACACAGGCTGCTGTGCTGACATCAACTCATCAACCCAACAAACATTCACGCCACATCACACACGATTGCTTTCGCACCCAAACACACACACACACACACACACACACACACACACACACACACACACACACACACACACACGCACGCACACACACGCACACACACTCACACTCACCACACGCACACGCACACACACTACACACACACGCACACGCAAACACCCCCGCCTTCACCCATGCATACACAATACTGCAGCACCTTGCGGAGGACATTGGAACCCACCGGCGGGCGGCGCTGGATGACCGCATCAACCCGATACAGCTGCTGGAGGTGGAGGCAGCCGTGCACACCATCAAGTCGCAGACGGTGGACCAGGCGTCCCTGTCCACCACGGAGTCTGCCCTGCTGGCCTGCTGGACGACAACACAGCACCTCATATCGCAGCACCGCCGCATTGTCGCTGAGAACGAGAAGCAGCAGCATGATTTGCGCGTGCAGTTCAACGCCACCCTGGATGTCATGCGGACACGCGAGCGCGAGCGCTTCGAGAAGCTCATGATTGCGTGCGAGGATGCAGCGCGCGCACGCGAGCGAGCGGAAATTGAGGCCGCATACATGCTTATCCCGCGCAACCCGGGCGACTCGTTTGGAGCACCTCATGGCAACAGCGGCCATGCCTTTGGCGACGGTGACGACGATGACAGCAGCGGTGGTGGTAACCGTCTTCACAGCGGTAGCCATGGTGTACGCAGTCGGCAGCGCAGCCCACGCGCGCTGCGTCGTCCAAGTATGCCCGTGTTTGCCCGCACGCCACCGCAATATCCGTTTGGCAGCAGCGTGTACCGCACGCCGCTGTTTGTTGACGAGCACACACTGGGCCGACAGCGCCAGCACCAGCGCGAACGCAATCGCCTCTCGCAGACGTTTCTGCAGCGACGGGAGGAGAGCGTGTCCAAGCTGCTTCGACAGCACGCCCATGGTACTAGTGGCGGTGATGACGACGGCGACGGTGATGATGGTGACGTCTACGATAGTGGTGATGGTACTGGCAGTGTTGATGGCACCATCTCACGCCGCAGTGGAACTGCTGCTGTTCACGGTGGAACATTTGACGTTGCTACTGCTGCTGAAGATGGTGATGGTGATGGTGATGACGATGGCGATGACGACAATGTTGAAGTGGATATACGTGGCCACCACCGTGCTGAGAGCGAGGAGGTTGTACTTCGCCGGCGAAAGCATGCAACAGATGTCGCCATGATGCGGGCACGTGCACAGCGTTGCGTGAGTGACTACATTGAAACGACGACGAGCGCACCAGCAACAGCAGCAACAACAGCCGCGAGCACACATACAGCCACAATGGCAACAGTGACAACAGTAGCAACACCGGGCATGCACACAGCGACCACACATTCCATATCTTCGATTGCAGGCGAAAACGCGGCACTGTCAGCAACCATGCACCCGCTGACCCGCGGCAACAGCTTGGGGGATGACGGCGGCTCTCACGGCCTCGGGCACAGCCATGGCGACACCCACCACCACCATCATCATCATCATCATTATCATCACTCACACCGTCGCAATCGCAGCTTGGGTGGCGGTCACGCTGTCAGCACCGGTGATGGACCACATGCGGCTGATGGCGTCATGACAATCACCGTCGATGATGACGACAGTAATGCTGGTGGTGACGAGCACGCTGGTGAGTGCGGTGCCAGCCGCGAGCGCAAAGGATACAACACTTGTGGTGGCGATGGTGTTGTGAGCGACGCGCATGCCAGTGAGAGTGTTGCAGATGCAAGCACAAATCACCAGGGCCGCCACCACCTGCGCCACCACAATCGCCTCGCTCCCCTCCTCCATCCACAGCGCTCGACCGGCAGCCTGCCGCTATCACACTCACCATCACCAGCACGGCAGCTGCTGCCAGAGGAGCTGGTGTTGGACGCAGACGACGTGCATATTCTACGCGGTGTGCGGCGACCGGTGTCACACACGACATCATCTCCGTCTCCATCCCCATCTGCATCCACCTCCCCGCGTGCTCGCAGACAGGGCAGCGAGAGCACCAGCACAAATGCGCACGCAGATGCCGTCTTGCTGCGGGGTGTGACGCCAGATGCACAGCGGCAACTGGAGAGCCCATGTGGAAGCGGCAGGCATGACGTTGATGCCGGCGACTGCCAGACGGAAGTCGGCAGCGTCGCAGGGGAGCAAGGGCGAGGGCGCAACGGCTCCGCGCGGCGAGCGAGATTCGGCACATTCAGTGTATCTGTCGATGCAGCAGATGACGAAGATGTCAATAATGTTGGCGACGATGGTGGTGGTGGTGGTGATGGTGGTGGTGGTGGTGACGATACGTTGCGCGAAAGCAGTGCCACGCTCACTGTGGCTGCAGCAGACGGAGGTGCTGTTGATGGTGCCGCACCTGCAGGTGTTGGGGGCGTTAGCAACAACAACAACAACAACAACAACGACGACGACGACGACAACAACAACAACAACAACAACAACAACAACAACAACAACAACAACAACAACAGTGCCAGCGGGCAGGTTGGTGGTGCCAGTGACCTAAGTGGTGAGAGTGATGCGCTATTTGTCGGCATGAACGCGAGCTTCAACATGGGTACATCGTTTGGTGATGTGTTTGAGGACGACGCGTATGTGTACAAGCACGACAACGACGTGTTTGACCACCCGGCCGATTGGAGCGTCCTTCGGACTGCACAGAACAGCAGCATCGATGGCGGTATCGCGGTAAACGGTGATAGCAGTGGGGATGATGGTGATGATGGTGGGGATCATGGAAATGGTGGTGGCGATGGTGATGGTGATGATGAATGCGATCGCAGCAACGCCAACGAGGACCACCAAGAAGGGCACAACAGCGACCAATGTGTTGACGGTGGTGTGGACCAGGACACGGCCCCAACCAGCGACGGCAAGCAAATTGCTGCTGCTGCTGTGTGTGGTGACATTGACGAAGACGACACGGCGTGGGACATGGGCGCACCCGATGTTGTTGAGGATGTGACTCAAACAGCCATTGATCGCCGTCACAGCCGCACACCCACCACGGGCACAAACGCTGTGCCGAACATACATCAACAAGAGCAGCAACAAGATCAGCAACAAGATCAGCAACAAGAGCAGCAACAAGAGCAGCAACAAGAGCAGCAGCACCATGATCACCAAGTTGGAGGGCTTTCACCTGGACGCCCGCGCGCATCTACAGTGACGGTGATGTCGCCACTGCGGAAAGACAGCGGCACCACCAGCACCACCAGTGCCGGCAACAGCACCACCAGTGCCGGCAACAGCGGCAGCAACATCACCAGCAGCACAGGTCATAGCACCGTTGGTCGGCAGCGAAGTGCGAGCACGGCACTGTCGCCGCCATCACCGTCGCGTCCCTTGTCATCATCATCATCATCATCATCACCTGCCTCTGGGCGACCCATCTCTGCTCTGCGCTCACCACTCTCTGCCAGTGGAAAGCGTGTGATTCCACGCCGCAGACACGCAGGCAGCAGCCCTGCACCAGCTGCACGCACATCTCTCATCGCTGAACGCATGCCGAGTGGTGTTGGCGTGGGTGTTGGTGCGTCATCACATCATGGGAGTGCAAGCCCTGCACGCAGTCGCAGCCGCAACCGCACAAGCTACAGTGGGCAGGGCGGGCAGGCCGCCAGCCACCAGGGGCTTTCACGCACACACCCCAACGGGCATCGCAGCAGCGTCAGCAGCATTTGCAGCTCGACGAGCGCACGTGTCGTGAGCCAGTGGCGGCGGTCCCTCAACACACCTGGCGTCAACACGCAACAGCCAGGCGACAACTGCTCATCTGCTGGTGATAATGCTCTAACAAGTACAACCGCCGCTACAAACACAACAACCACGAGCGCGACAAGCATACCAACCACAGTACAAACGGCTGGGGACGCATCAGTTGAGTCCTGTATCACAGTAACAGAAGACACAGGTGCACAGACGGAAGCGGGTAATGCCGCTGCTGCCAACGACCACGAAGCGGTGAAGCTGCGAAGGAAGCGCAACAGCAGGGCAGGTCAGCCATCGTCCTCCTCACGGCCAAGCAGCTACCACCAGCAGATGGCCCGCATACGCCGATCAAAGGTCACCTCTGACCTCTAATGTGAACGAGCACGATGATGATGAAGGGCGGGCGGTAGTTGGTTGGTTATCGAGGTGGTGGTGATCGCGGTTGGTTGGTATTGATCATGTTGATTATGGCAACGACGATGGTGCTGAAGGGAATAGCTTGCCCTTGCCGATGACGATGTCGCTCTTGCCTTCACCGTTGTGCTGGCGACGGGTGCGACCATCTTTCGATTGTCGTCAAGCGAAAGGAGACACGCATGAGTGCGTGCAAAGCAGTGCACTGCTTGATAAATTAACCTGTGTTCTTGTACATATTTCGAGGGTATGGTTGACTTGGTCTTTGTCTCTTGTTGTCATCGTTGCTGTCGTTGTAGACCTCATCATCTTCACACTGCCGCTTACTGTACATAGGCAACATAGGCAGCAGAGCAAAGCTGCCTTGTTTACCACCCACACATATGATTGACTAACGTATGCTTATGCAAGGAAGCAATGAGTGCTTGTGCTTGTTCTTTGACCGGACTTGTCGCCGAAAGCATTTTCAATTTCACCCTTTGTCTGCTTTGCTTGCAGTCTTTCTTGCTTCTAGTCGATTTATTTTCTCTTGTGTCTACTTGGAAGTGGCTTGTGTAAGACGAAGTGAACACGATCTCGCTCAAGCAACGATAATAGTCTTGAAGAACTCTTCTGCGTTGTCTTTGCTCGAGTGACGAGAAAGGTCGGTAAGCAAACATGCAGAAATACCCACACTCACACACACACACACACACACATACTCACACACACACACATACTCACACTCACTCACACACTCCCATACACACTCACACACACACACACTCACTCACACACATACACACTCCTCCCCAAGATCACGTCATCGCACGAGGAAAGCTGTGAATGACACACAGCAAGTTTCAGCGCACCCCGCCATTGGCTTTGTGTACAAATGCCAACAAACAACGTCACACCCACCCACCTTTTGCTTGACATGATCGCAAGAACCACCACAGCAAGTACACAGACAGACACAGAAGCTTCCTTCCTTCTCGATGCACTCGCGAAGCAGCGAGCGATCATCATCACCACCAGCACCCGCACCAGCAGTAGCAGCAGCAGCGGCGACGCTGTCCTTTGTTGTGTTTTGCGCCAAAGGTCGCAGAGAACCACGATGGCTTCGACCTGCGCGGGCAAAAGCGACCGTGCTGCTGTGACGGCATTGGCTGCTGCGGTATGCCTGATTTCCATGTTGCATGTGCCAGGCGCAACAGCGAACGCCACTGCCACACATTGGACGCCTCCCCAGGATGACTGGACAATCACCGTGTTCTCAGATGTCGACTGCTCTGAATCAGCCATGACTCATGTGCGATACACAGCCGTGAGTGGGTGTTCATCCATCACGGACTACACGAATGCGCGCTGCGACTGCAATGATCGCTTTGTCCGTGAGCGCGCCAACGCGGATTGCTCGAACAGTGGCACAGAGAACGGCCCCTTGTCCGGCACCAGCACTTGCCAGTCGTCCACTGCGATGAACAAGATGTTCCAGACATATTGCCCCGCTTCTCTGCCGGAGTGGGCGGATGTGCTGGGTGATGGCAGTACCGTGACACCCGATCTCGTTGTGGCACTCTTTGGAGACAATGCGTGCTCCAATGCGAGCTTCATTGCCTATGATGTGGTGAAAGAAGGCACGTGCATATCCTACGACAGCAGCCAATACAGTGCCACGCTGCTGCAGTATCCGCAGGTGCAGTTGAATGACTGCAACAACGCAAGCGTTGGTACTACGGTGTGGGAGCGCCAGTGTTTCAACCTCAGCAATGGCCTGTTTGGCGCCATCTGCTCCGACTGCTTTGGTGATCTGGCTTACAACCCTTCAAGCGCAACGCAGCACTGCACGGATGGATCACCGTCCACAACTAGTGTGCTTTCAACTACCACAGCGCAATGTGCCTTGGGGTTCGTGCAGTCTCCAGGCACAAGTGCGAGTGGAAGGGCTTGCGAATCAGGTGAGCTAAGGGGGGGATTGTGTGCACGTGTGTGTGTGTGTGTGTGTGAACTTGAGGTTTGAGCGTGTGTGTGCTTGGGTTGGAGGGGAGGCGGAGGGCTGGGTAATGCTGACCTGATGTGAGTTGGTTGCATGTCTTGTGTCTTGTCATGCCTTGCCTTGTAATCACCTTCTCACCTCCCCCCCCCCCTTGTTGTGTTCCTACACGTCTTGTTATGGGATGTGCAGACGCATATGCGTGTGTGGATGGGAAGATTGAGCCGTTCTCGGCTTTGTGCACGTGTTCAGATACCAACTGCGTCTTGTGCTACGACAGCGCCAGTGGCGCATACGACAACCTTGGTACGCTATCCATGCTGATGACGACAGTGTTGAAGACGTGCATGTGGTTCTAAGTGCTGGGCGCTGTGAGGAGTAAAGAAGGAGAAAGAGTGTGTTTGTGCGTGTGCGTGTGTGTGATGTTGGGTATGTGCAGCTGTGCTATGGTGCGACGAAGCTTGCGTGTTGGTGCTTGAGGTCGACAAGTGATTATGCGTGGCACTCTTGTGTGGACAACGCGCTCGTGTATCTTGTTCTCAACGCAGGTGCACCCGTTCACACACACTCTCACACGCACGCTCTCACACTCACGCACACAACGCACACACACACACACATACACACACACACAAATACACCCGCACACACACACACACACACACACACACACACAAATACACCCGCACACACGCACACACACACGCACACACACACACACAAATACACACCCGCACACAAATACACCCGCACGCACAAACACACACACACGCACGCACAAACACACACGCACAGGAGTGACGATGATTGGGTATGACGAGCCCGATAATGAATACCTCATGTGCGAGGAGAATGTGGCTGATGTTGACGCGTGCGTGACGCTGTGTGCATCCATGAGCAATTGCACATCGTTCTCCTATGAAGAGACAGCGGCCATATGCTGCTTCTTCGCTGGCGGCGTGGTGCGTTGTGGTGCTACAGCTTGTGTTACGTGGTGATGACATAGTGTGATGACATGACATCCGTGTGTTTGCGCGTGTATGTGTATGTTAATGCACAGGTGTATGTGTGCAAGTGCACGAGTGCATGTGCATGTTGCAGCCTTTGCTCTGATCCTTTTCTTACTCTATGCACGTGCGTGTGTGTATGTGTGCGTGTACATGTAGGTCGAATTCAAGGACGAGATGGATTCGGGGGATTCCATCATCTACTTTGCCATGGATGGCTGTCACGAATGCGACTTCAACTACTACCTCAAGGACATGGCATGCCACGGTACACCAGTGAACGATGCTGCTGTTGTTGTTGTTTTTGCTAGTGGTGGCTGCGTGAGGGCAGTCGTGGCTTGTATTCCTGCATGGCATCTCTTTTCAAGAACGTGCGCTCTGCTGGACACAACACCAAGTCAAGTTGCCGCACATGTATGATGTCACTCACGTGCAACGACTGCCATCACGACCTTTGTTCAAACAAGTGGTAAACTTCCCGCCGCTTGTTGCCTCATATGATCCGCAGGAGTTCATCTTCTCCATCAACGACCAGGGATCATTTCCCCGCGTGCTCACCAACCTCTTCATCTACCCTGGCGTATATGCGGTGGGGAGGCGAAAGCAATGTTGGCGAACATGGATGACTGCTTCGGGCCTGTGTGCTTGTTTTTGTGATCTCAAGTGTGTGTTGGGGGGCCTTGTTTGTGCTTGAGCTTCCCTTTGTGGTTATTTCGATGCTTGCTTTTTTGTCGCTTGCCATGCCGTAGGGGTTGTGTTGCGGGGGCGTTCATCCCGTGGTTTGTTGTGGCTTCACTTGCGCAGGACTCGACGGTTGAAGTGGACGTGAGCGTTGCGGAGGAGTACAGTGACATTGTAAATATCACAGGCAGCGATGTAATGCTTCTTGCACCCTTCAACGCGACAGGCGTCTACAACGTCACAATCACAGGTGCGTATGCGTATGAGTGTGCGTATGAGTGTGTGTATGAGTGTGTGCATGAGTGTGTGTGTGGATACGTGTGTAGTTGTGGGGAGACGGGATGCATGGAATTGGATTGGCTGCATAAGTGTGAATGGATGTGTGAATGGATGTGTGTGTGTGTTGGTGTGTACATCGTGTGCGCCCACGTTTGGCAGTATAGGTGCATGAATGAGTGCAACTTGCTGCAGCCAACGCCCATGTACCAGCTGACGCCATCTCCTCCTTCCACAACCACCGCCACCACCGCTGCCACGACCGCCACTGCCATTCCACGGTTACCACTATGATTGCAACACAAGCGCAAGATAATCGCAATGAATGCGTGTACGATGATGATGGCAGCCGGTATGACGGACCCTGTACGACCGACTACGTCATCCAGGTCTGGGATAGCGTTCGTGTGTTGTGCGTACGTGTTGTGTGTATTGTGTGTGTCTGGTGTTTCGTGTCTACAACCAAACACTGGGGAACATGGGCTGATTGACGCCCCTGTCACACATGCACGAGCAACAACACGGTGATTGAGTTGAATGTTGTGAGTGATCGCAAGGCCCTACCAAATCAGCAGCAGCAACAACAACAACAACAACAACAACAACAACAACAACAACAACAACAACAACAACAACAACAACAACAACAACAACAACAACAACAACAACAACAACAACAACAACAACAACAACACTTCCACCACCTCATCCTGTTCCTCTGCAACCCCCCACCGGTTAGATTGTCGTGATGGATATCGTGTGTGCAGAGGACCAGCTTCTTATTGCCACAAACGACGACCACGCCGACACCGACCTTACATTTCCGACTGCTTTTCCGTTACCGCAGTCCCAGTTCAATGTCACATCCTCCAAAGGTGATGTGTTGTGCAACTGCCAAGCACATGCACACGCACACAACAGCACTGCATTTCAAGGCACTGCGCTCCCATAATGCTGCCCCTTGCTGTTGTTCGCACTGTCATTACCAACCACCACTACGACGTCCCTCCCTCATGCGTGTGTGTGTATGACTCTGCAGAGGACCTCATGTCTTTCCCGCTTGGAGTCACAACCGTCAACTTCACGGGCGAGAGCGAGTTGTGGGGCGTTATCAACTCGTGTGGCACCACGGTGAGTGTAACGGCCTCTCATCTACTGTTAGGACAAGCGGCGTTGGTGTGAGAGGGGGATGATTCTGAAGTGACTGGAGGCGGGAGCTGTAGCAGTGGCAGTGGTTGAGGTGGTCGGGAGTGGTTGGACTGGTGCTCCTCGTGTTATGTGCACAACTGTGTGCACGGTCACACGCTCCCTCACCTACCCTCTTCCCGTATCCTTTCCTTCTGGCTCACGCAACCATCATTTGTTGTCGCAGGTGAGTGTTTTTCGAGGTGTGGAGGTGGAAGTGGATGTGCTCTCAGCAACCAGCGGCGACAACATCATGACCATTTTCGTCGTCACAAACCTTTTTGGAGGTATGAAGTGTGTGTGCATATGTGTGTTGGTTGGCTCAGCGACTGCAGGAACGTGTTGCGTCCAGTTGATCGCGCATGCTTGCGGATTGCTTGATTGGTGTTGTATTCGCTTGCAAACCACACAAGAGCGCTGCTTGATTCGTATTGAACACACACACACACACACACAACCACCCCGTAGATGTGCTGTCACCTCTTGGCGGGTTCAACATGACGCAAGACACGAATGATGTCATCATCTCCATCTCCGCGTCCACGGGCGAGCCGTTCCTCGTCTCCTCGCAGACCAATCAGTACGACCTCCGCCTTTCTTTCGATCTGCGCTTCTGTCCAGACGGCGTCTCCTTTCCTACTTCGGCAACCCTGGTCGACATGGACCAAAGCACAGACACCAGCAGTGCCAGCGGCATGCGGGCAGTGTGGGCCGAGTTTCGCAGTGATGGGGACGTTCCCGGCGTGACGCTTGTGACGAAGCAGGCGGTGGTGGACGCAGAGTCCGGTTGTTTCCGTGTTTCTGGCGAGTCCTCCCCGATTCGCGACCAATTCCTCTTCGACACCATCGACATTTACTTCACGTTTGCAGAGTGAGTCGACGTGCTATGACCTGCAACGCTGCGCGAGAACGCCGTGATGACGATGGTGATGGTGGTAATGATGATGTGCTTGGAGTTAGTGTTGGTTGGACGACACACGCAGCATGCACACCCTACCCTTTCATCCCGATACGCATCCACCACCTGCGCTGCATGCCCCCGACAACTCCCATGTCACCGATACCACCAAGACGACAACAATCACAACGACCATCACCACCACAATGCCAGGGATGCGTTTGTTGCAGGCCTGCTGCCAGTGGACATGGCACCCGTGTCGCCCGGTTACGTAGCGTTTGTTGCAGACAGCGGTACATCTCCGCTGCCGCCATCACTGCTGCTCGAACCGCCGGTCACCCTCGAGGACCGCGAGGCGCCAAAGGTCTGCAAATAATGTGTGGTGGTAGTGGTTGGAGGGGCTGACAGTGGTGGTGGAGAAGACACGTGTGACTTGTGTCCATCACGATGAGCCAAGCAATGGAACACCTACCTACCCATCCTATCCTCAGCACCTGTTGTGTCGGTTCGCAACGCACACTCGCAATGACACTTTGCAAACACAATCTAATCCCCTCCTTCACACACGCGCACATACACACACACAAATACAATACAAATACAAACAAATACACACACACACATACACACACACACAAATACACACGCACACACAAATACACAAATACACACAACAGTTCACCAACTGCCCGAGTGAGCCGATTGTAGTGTACGCAGGCCACGGCGAGGCCACCGCGGTTGCCATGTGGGATGACATTGTTGTGACGGACAACATTGGCGCTGTCCTGACACCGCCGGACAGGGGACCCGGATCAGCGTTCAGTGTTGTCGACAGCCCGCATGCCATTGTCTACTCTGCAACCGATGGTATCTTTACCACTACGTGCGAATTCTGGGTACGCAACCTTGAAAGAGGACGTGTGTTGCGGTGATGTGTGTCGTGGGCTGGAGGGGGGTTGTGACACAGAGCCACTGCATTGTGTGTCTACTGTTGCGCGTGGGCCCTCGTGGTTTGTTTGCGTGAGTGCTTGTGGTTCGTGTGAACTTGCGTGTGTTCGTGCATGCACTCAAATGACCACTCCCCACAACCACCACAACCAACACCACCACCACCACCACCATCGTCACCGTCACTGTCATCAGGTGATTGTGAATGTTGAGGAAGAGCTGGCGGTATCGCTGTCTCCGCGCATCTCCACCATCACGAAGGAGGAAGAGACGTTTGCTGGTGCGGCCCTGTACGCCGTCACGTACTCGCTCTTGGATGATTCGCCACACAACCTCACGTTTACGGTGAGCGGGGTGTGCGTCGTGGTGATTTGGTGATTGGCAGTGGTGGTGAGTGATGGTGGATTCGGTGGGGTGAACTCTGGACCACGAGTGTTCATGGTTGTGCACCGCCATATGCTCACCACGCTGTTGAATGAATTCCCATACATCACACTCAACCACATGCAAATCAACTCCTAAACACGCGACCTCATCACAAACACCTCCAACAAACCCACATTACACCCCTAATCACACTCAACTCCCCAAACACACGGTCACCTCACCACCCCATCAAAACAAACGATGCCAACATGCGATGCAATCCTGACCGCCGATCACACACGCACACGCACACACACACACACATACACAGGAGGATCTGTTGACGAAGAACACCATCTCTGTCACGTTTGCAGAGGCGAGCCGCCTTGCTGTTGTTCTACAAGGAACAGCAAACGCGACAGACGTGCGGTTACAGGTGGATATGCAGTGGGTCACCTCGCAATCGTTTAGCCAAGACATCCTCATTGATGCAGGTACGGGCTGTTGTTGATTGAGGTGAAGATGATGTGTCGTGTAGCGTCTGCTGTTGTTCTTGCAGTGTTTGAGTGAATGAGTATGCGTGAGCTGACCATCCCCCCTATGTTCACGACCCTTCAATCCCTTTCTTTGTGTTGCATGTGTGCCTGTGTGTGATGCCACGATCCAATCATCACATACACGTTTGCTTGCGCCCTCCCCCTTTAATTGTCTGCAGATGACATCAAGGTGACGGCGGTGCTGACACCAGCCACCATCGATGACACCTCGTCATCATCATCATCATCGCCATCATCATCCCCGGACGGAGCGCTGACAGAGGAACTCGCGCTTGAGTTCTCATCCCTGCACAGAGAGGTATCGTGAGTGTGTATGTGTATGTTTGTATGTGTGAGTGTGTGAGTGCGTGATGTGTGGGTATGTATGTGTATGTGTGTGCATGGGAGAGGAGACTGCTGGGGGAGGGAATGCACGTGTACATGCTTGTGGGGTTTATTTCACTGTCACAGGTCTTACTTGCATGTTGGATGCAACGTTTACGCTGTTGACCTTGAACTCGACTGCAACACTTCGCGCTCCCCAACCTGTAGATGGTGCTTGGCAGCAGTGGCGGTGAGATTACGGTCGTTGGCGAGGCCCCCATATCCGGTGCCGTTGCATTTGGCAGCATCATTCTCAAGCTCACGTGTGTACGCACATGCAGTCATGCTGGCAGAGGGGAAGGGCATGATAGTAAATCGGGAGGAGGGGCTTAGCGCGCCGCGCGCTCTGTCTGTGTGAGATGTGTGTAGATGTGCATGTGTGGTGGATGTGTGCATGTGTGCTGGATGCGTGCATGTGTGGTGGATGCGTACTGGACGTTTACACTCTGCGCGGTTTCTCAGTGGCATGTCATAACTAGCGCGCCAATTCCGCTTCAGCGCACCTTACATTCAGCCCATCACTACTGTACCCACCATCTTCACCACTGCATCCACCACCACCACACTGCATGCCAGGTACATCAACGATCTCGAAACGAACCTGCCATCACAAATGACAGAGTGGACACCCCAGACCGCCACAATTGGTGAGCGCTGCACGTACCGCTACTGTTTGTGATGCGGGATCCTTTGAGAAAGAAAGGGGGAGTCGAGTCACAAGAGTGCGTCATGGAGAAACGGCGAAATGGGACACGATCTCGCTCGCGATACTCGCGCAGCCCAAGGACAGCACATGCACACACTCACAATAACAACGACGACAACAACAACGACAACAACAACGACAACAACAACAACAACAACACCACGAATCCACACCAACTGATACACACTTACTTACATCAACATGCACACACACACCAATGTGCAACCTCCCCCCCCCCCACCCCCACTCCAACTTGTGCACAGGCTTCCGATATCTGTACGACGAAGACACGACTGTGGCAGAGGATGTGTACGCTGTTGCATTTTATGATGCCAACCCACCCGTCATCTTCGGCTGTCCAACAGAAGCAATTCGGGCCAGTAACGACCCTGGCAAGCAACACGCAACCGTCTCCTTCCCCAAACTGACGGCTGAGGATGATCAGGCAGGGTTTATTGTGCCCACAAACCCGCTGTATACCAACTTCACCGGCACGTTTGAAGTGCAGCTGCCGCCAGCATTGTCTGGTGTCCGTGTCGTGTACACGGCCACGGATTGGTACGGGAACACAGCGACGTGTGCGTTTGATGTGCGCGTGGTTGACAGTGAGCCACCACAGGTGGTCTGCCACCCCGATGTTGTCGTGTGGGAGCTGAGTGCTGGCAGTGATGATGTGGATCTGACCATGGACGATATCACGGGCAACTACACGGACAACGTCGACTTTGACGGATGGGTATGTATGTGTTCGTGTGTACGTGTGCGAATGTGCGTGCGTGCGTGCGTGTAGTTTGGGAGAAGTGATGGAAGCCGTTGTGACTGGCGGTGTTTGTGGTAATTGCAGGGCTTGTGGGACGAGGGTGAGTGGTATATATGTCCGCTTATGCTTGCATATGGTCTTGTGTTTGTCGTTGTGCGCGTCTGTATTTAACGTTCCACAAAGCGAAGTGTGGTTGCGTGTCCAGGGTGAGCATTGCATGTGGACAGCGCTATCGCATGAGCTCATTCATTCTCTCGCATCGGCCTCCTTGCGTCTTTGTCTTTTCTCAATCTACAGGTGACAGTGCAGGAACCACGGGGAGGCGTCTCCCTGGGTGTTGGCAACTACAGCTTCACGACAACGGTGTCAGACGCGTATAAGAACACCAACAGTTGCGTCACGTACATTGAGGTTATCGACATGACACCACCAGCCATTCTGTCCTGCCCCACCGATCAAACGGGTGTGGCAGACCCAGACCTGGACCCGAATGATCCCTCGCTTCCAATAGCTGGCGCTGCAAGCAACACCGACACCTACGTTGCCATCAACTTCACAGCCTCCATCATGCAGAGTAAGTCACGGTGTATCTGCGGAGTGTGTGTGTGTGTGTCTGCGGAGTGTGTGTGTGTGTGTGTGGTGTGTGTGTTGTGTGTGTGTGTGTGTGTGTGTGTGGCGTGTGTGGGGCTAGACCCGGGATTGGTGCAAATTGCCACATTTCTGGAATTGCTGTGATATGATGTGACTGCTCCAACACACGCGCTCAAACACACACACACACACCTACACATTTCCACACACACACACACACACATACATACATACATACATACATACATACATACATACATACATACATACATACATACATACATACATACATACATACATACATACATACATACATACATACATACATACATACATACATACATACATACATACATACATACATACATACACACACACACGCATAAACATTTCCACACACACACAACTCGCACACACACACACACAACTCGCACACACACACACAACTCGCACACACACACACACACCTCACACACACACACACACAACTCACACAACTGCAGACATTCGCTTTCACAACGATGACGTGGCGCGGCTGGAGAAGGACGTGCCAACGCTCGCGCGGTACGCGGCAGGCCGCACCCCCGTGACGGTGACGGCATACGATGCCGCTGGCAACCCTGCCGTGTGCTCGTTTGACGTGGTGGTGGCAGACACGACGCAGCAGCAGCCGCAGGCGGCAACAGCGCTTGATTCGAGTGCGCTTGCTGGCATTGGGACGGGCGCAGGCGTTGTTGTCATGGCCCTCGCTGTTGTCGTCTTCATGCTTCGCCGTGTATCTAGAAAACCACAGGAATGGGATGGTGAGACAAACAGATGCGCTGTGCTACGTAAGGGGGCGGGGCGGAAAGAGAGTGTGAATGTACGGATGCTTTATGTGTGTTTGTGTGTTTGTGTGTGTGCGTGTGCGTGTGCGTGTGTATTGGGAGGAACAGAGCAAAAGGAAGTGAAGTGGTGATCTGAGTTTACATTGTGTGTGTGTGTGTGTGTGTTTATGTGCACGGTGTATTAGTGTTGAAGAGCATGCGCTAGATGGATTGAGTGCCCGCCACACACGCACGCACACTCAAGTACTCGATACTCATGTGTATACACCCAAACCCCTCCTCACCTCACCCAACCACCACCCTCTCCAGACATTTTTGCGTCTATGGAGGCGTTTTCGTTGCAGCAGGAGGCACAGGGCGGCCCCGTGCGCCCGCGTGAAATCCGGCGCGCACAGCTGAAACTCAACCTCGAACTCGGCAAGGGCGCGTTTGGCATCGTGTACAAGGTGGGAATGTGTGTGTGTGTGTGTGTGTGTGTGTGTGTGTGTGTGTGGGGGGGTGTGGGTGTGTGTGTGTGTGTGTGTGTGTGGGTGTGTGTGGGAATGTGCGTGTGTGGGGGGGGGGGTGTGTGTGTGTGTGTGTGGGTGTGTGTGGGTGTGTGTGTGGCGGGGAGGGGAGGGGCGAGATGGGAAGTGGCTGTTGTCATGGTGCTGTGGGGTGTTGCTGTGGCTGTTGCGACGGTGTGTTTAAAGTGGGGCTGCGTGGGTGTTGGCGGCCATGGCAGCGCGACGATGGCATTACTTTTGTTTTTTATTTTGTATTGTGCGTCTACACTTACCAACACTGCCACCCGCATGCGTTCACCAACAAACCATACCAGGGCCTCCTCAAGGACATCCCTGGTGTGCCGGCATATCTGGTGGCGGTGAAATCGCTTCACGACAACGCGACGGGCGCCGATAAGCAGGAGCTGCTGGAGGAGGCTGCTGTCATGGCCCAGTTTGCACATCCAAACGTGGTGCGTACCGTGGGTGGTGATGATGACAGTGATGGCAGTAATGGTGATGACGGTCGCGATGATGGTGGTGCCTGCAGTGGTGGTTGTAATCATGATGTTGCATTACTGAACATGGTGGTTTGTCGGAATCGCCATCTCTTTGAGGTGACAGTCCTCGTGGTGATGGTGGCAACTTGTGTGCATGTTGGAAGCAGCGGTGGCGTTGTGTTTTGACACACGTTTGTTTGACATGACGCTTCTGCTTGCTTTGCATGCGGCGGTGCTTGATTTGCAGGTGGCCATGGTCGGTGTTGTGACTGTTGGCGATCCCCTCCTCGTCATTCTCGAGGTATGTACAACGCACAAAGGGTAGAGGAGGCGTCGGTGAACCTGTTTCTATTTGTGTATTTGTGTATTTATGTAGTTATGTAGTTATGTAGTTGTGTATTTGTGCATGTGTGTGTGCGTGTGTGTGCGTCTGTGTGTGTTGTATGCGCTGTTCAACACGAACAGTGCCGCCTGCGGTCGTGAAGCGACGCTTTGCCTTGCCTCAAACTCAATTCATGCATCAAGATCATTCACTGTGCTCGCAACCATCACCACCACCATCACCACCATCACCATCATTGTCATCACGAATGCCATCAGTACATGGAGCATGGCAGCCTCAAGTCGTACTTGGAGAACAAGGACGTGCCGTCGGAGCTGAAGATTCAGTTTATTGCCGACTGCTGTGCAGGCCTCGCTCACATCCACGCAAAGGGTTAGTAGGGAACGGGAAGAGGGCTAAACTGTGTTTACACATGTGCGCGTGGTGTGTGTGCGTGTGTGTGTGCGTGTGTGTGTGTGCGTGTGCGTGTGTGTGTGTGTGTGTGTGTGCTGTCCTGGCGATTCTAAACGTGCACACATTGACCCCCATCATACACTTGCACGTACACGTGCGCTGGTTTCTGTACAGGCTTCATTCATCGCGATGTGGCAGCACGAAATGTTCTCATCTCAACGGAGGTGACGGCAAAGATTGCCGACTTTGGGTAGGTGAACGCAGTTTTGCGTGTTGATGTGTGTTCTTTCTATCACAGCTACACATCGGCTTCCGCATCCATCTCAAACATCACAAGTGGTCAAATGCACACTGAATCCTTCATTTCAAGCGCTACCACACCCGCATCACACTCCAATCACTCACACTAATCACACACCCTTAATCTCCCCTTTTCATCACACAAACACTCACATGCATGTGCATCTGCAGCCTTACGCGCGAGTCGAAAGAACACGAAGACTACTACCGGTCGCGTGGCGGTGCGCTGCCTGTGCGATGGACAGCTCCAGAGGTGAAGGGGAATGGCACATTAACTTGAGTTCTGCTTTGTTTCCTGTCTTGTTTGTTTCGTTTGTGTTGTATTGCAGTTCAGAGCGACGTGCCAGGCTTCCTCCTCTTCCTTCTCCAGCAGCATACTGTCGTTTATCACCACCACCACCACCACCACCATTGCGACCATTGCCGTTACTACTGCCATCGCCATCATCGTTAACGCAACAACCCACGACCACACACTCTCATGCCTGCAGGCACTCGAGTCGCGCAAGTTTGACGAGTCGACGGATATTTGGTCCATGGGCATTGTCATGCATGAGGTGTACACACGCGCAGATACGCCGTACAAGGGATTCACAAATCAGAAGGTCTGGGTGCAGGTGTGTGCCGGGTACCGCCTCCCACGACCGCCAACGTGCCAACAAGTGAGATATGATTGCGACTGGCCTGGGTGTTGCCGTTGTTGCTGCTGGTACAGTCACGGATAACAGACGCTTCCGTGGCCTTCCGTGGTGTCATGTTCTTGCGGTGATTCTTCGCTGTCACAGCAGTCTGCTGGTGGTTTGGAAGCGAGCAGGGAGTGTCCACGTCATTGTCTACACACACACGCGACTTGCCACCACACCTGCTATCACTTACTGCTCACAACATCCACGTTGTGACACCACGCAATACCACACGACACCACCTCTCGACTCGCGCTTGACCCAGGTGGTGTATGAGTCGATGCTGCGGTGTTGGGCGGCGGACCCGTCGCAGCGGCCGTCGTTCACGGAATTGGAGCAGACGTTCCGAAAGTTGCAGGAAACCAATCTCGCCCCCGCCATTGGAGCACGGCCGTCCCACCACGCTGACGTCGTACCAAACCCATACGTGCGTCACCCAAAGCGAGGAGAGATGGAAGCGGTCGGTGGTGGTGGTGGTGGTGGTGGTGGTGGTGGTGGATGTTCGGATGGTGGTTTTTGGCTGCGAGGCCGCGGTGATTGTTGCAGTCGCAGTACAATTTTGTCGTGGTGGCGGTGGTGGTGATTGTGTGAGCTTGAGGCGGATCCGAGAGCGCTCGTGTGCTGGCATGCATGTCTCCATCTTCATGTGGCCACAAAGCGTGTGCTGATGTCTTGATGTGGGGCTCATCCATCACACAGGTTGACGACCCGACCAACTGCCCGGATAACGACACAGTGGCAGCATACATCGACAACGAACGCATGGCTACGGTGAGAGTGTGCGCGCAAGGGCAGATGTGTTGTGTGCATACATGTGTTGCGTGCGCGGTTAATGATGGCAAATCACCGTAGTGTGTTCTCATGAGCACATGCTCGCCGTCCTTTCACTGTCAGAACCCCATGTACCGAGGGAACCGCAACGTGGCTGCAGCAGCTGCTGCTGCTCACAAGGCGCCACCACCACAGTCGTCATCATCATCGTCATCATCGCGACCAACAGCATCGGCGCCCCCACGCCCGCCAGTGGCAGAAGAGGAGGTGTGCCTTGTGTGTCTTGTGTGTGTGTGTGTGTGTGTGTGTGTGTGTGTGTGTGTGTGTGCGTGTGTGTGTGCGTGTGCGTGTGTGTGTTTGAGCCTGTACAGTGTGTGTTGACACACACCCCTCTTCATCCTACTTCTGCAACCCACTTCTCCTGCCCCTCACTTCTTCACCTCCCTTCTTCGACACGTTCTGTTGTTGAAGCCGGATGCGTACGTGGACATGATGAACGTTGCCGAGGTGAAACTGGAGGCATGCGAGATTGTGCAACAGCACCAAGAGACAAAACAACATCAAGTGAGTAATGATATGATTCACGCAGAAAAGGTCAATCATGCCGCCGTGTATGTTTCGTGTCCTGTCATGCATTCTCTGACATAACTGCCCGTGTGTGTGTGTGTGTGTGTGTGTGCGTGCGTGTGCGTGTGTGCGTGTGTGTGTGTGTGTGTGTGTGTTGCTCTGTTTCGCAGAGTGCACCAACGCAACAGCGAGTGGAGCGGATCGACGAAGAAAAGAATGAGGTGTGCAAGCCTTGACCATGCACAACGCATCACTAATCCCGGCACTGTTAATGCTTGAGTAGTTGTGGGCAATCTCCCTCACCATTTCCGTCATTGTCGCCATCAACGTGTTGTTACTGCTCTGAACTGAATGGCAGCAGGAGTACATGGACTTGACGGGTTTCATTGAAGTACCGCTGGAGACAGTGAAGGAACCAACGACCACAGAAACGAAGGTGAGGCTTCTCACATGAACTTGTTGCAGGGATTGACTTGATGTGCATCATCATTGCTTGCTTTTGCTTACTTGTGCTTGCTTTTGCTTACTTGTGCTTGCTTGTTGTTACCTTGCATGTTGTTACCTTGCTTGTTGTTACCTTGCTTGCTTTTGCTTGCTTGGGGGTGGCGTGTCGTCACTGATTCGCCCTCTGCTATCGCCTGTTGTTGTCCGCATCTGCCTTGTAGGTTGTTGCCGTTGAAGGGCACACTGCATCTTCGCAACGCTCGGCACAAGCAAGCACACCAGACCAGGTACGTCGCCAACACAGCGAAGAGGTCACGGTGGTAGGGAGGGTGAACCGTGCAGGAGGTGTTCAGGTGCGACGCTTCCCCCCGTTTGTAACCGGCGTCGGCATCCGCACAACTTCACACCACACGTGGCACGTTGGCTTTGGGTGTGGCATTGCTGCAGGGCTCTGGGAGGATTGCAAAAGAGGAGGACGAGGAGGAAGGCGTGCCTGCTGAGGAACGCACATACCTTGAACCCATCGCACAGCTCATTTCAATGTGATGATCATCTACAATGTATGTGTGTGTTGCATGTATGCATGTGTGTGTTTGCGTGTGCATGTGTGGGAGTGTGTGTGTCACGGGGTGGCCCGTGGAACGGAGTCAACACACACAGCAAGACGTGCTTTTCATGTCGTGTGCTTTTGAGGCATGTTGATGAAGAAGTAAAGGCACACCGTTGGCACGCGCCAGTCAGATTGAAGGATTGAAAGACAAGCAACACGGCAACGTTCACAATATCCAAACGTCTCCTCTCCTCACAGGCTCACAAGCACAAAAGCACACACACACACACGCATGTGCACACACACATACACACACACACATGTGCACACACATGCACACATGTGCACACACACACACACACACATGTGCACACACACACACATACACACATGTCATACACATTCCCCACCAACTCGAGTTGTTGGCGGCGCGGCTGGCCTTGGAAAGATTTTCGGTACAACAACACCACGCCCATTCACAAAGAACCTAAGAACCACGCTCTTTCCAAGAAGCAAGAAAGCGTGGAAATTCACGGTTGTGCCAGCAGCTACAGCAATCAACAGGAATCACGCCACGAAACCTGCCCCAGTTCAAGCAGCATGTTGACCGAGCCATACCTCAACACGCCATTTTCCTCCTCTTTATCACCCCTCCTCCCTGGCTAAGCGAATGAGCATGTTCGCGTGCCCTTTCTTCGCACCAGCTGCAATGAGGTCCTTCTTCGTTAAGTCCCCGTCAATCACAAGCTCCACAAGATCTTGCAGCGTGGAAATGCCGTGGTCGATCAACACACTCTTCACGTGTACAAGGAGACCGTGTCGCTGTAGCCAGTTCGCAAGGTCGGAATTGAAGAGGTCTTCATCCATTACACTGGCATCTGGAGTTGGAGTTGATGTCGGCAAGTGTGGAAAGAACGCAGCAAACTTTTCAGCCAAACACCGAGACGTTACGCGGTGGCGATCAACCCATATGCCAGCGCTGTACTGTTGCTGGACTGAGTCAAAGTGCAACAGCGTGTCTTCGTCGTATGGAAGAAACAACTGCACGTGCAAGTCACCATATCGACGTGCCATGGCCTGGTTGATGGTTTCATGAAGTTGATCCAAGAACATGCGTGGTTCAGGACCATCAATCCAAACTTTGATGCCGCCAACAGCAGGAACAAGCCGCAGCTCCACTCTCGAATCTGCTGCGAAGATAACGACATGGGTACGGCTGAGCTTTGGCTCTCGCGTAGCTGTTGGTTGCGTGCGCTGCAGCACGTGTGCGAGCAACATGGTGAAGATGCCTTCAGGCAGGAAGGTTGTGCGCTGAAGGGCATCTATGCTCACGTCGGCATTTGCACTCGGCTGTGCAGGTCCAGCGATGAAGCTGATGTACGCCGTGTTCGGCTCATGTCCGAGATACGAGTGAAATCGCTGGGCCACAGTTGTGCTCAATACCACAGAAGATGACATCGACGACGCCTCATCAGCACTTGTCGGAGAGGCTGGAGCTGTTGATGATGTCGGTGAAGTCAGTGGAGTTGGTGATGGGTCAAGGGTCATGGGCAGGATCGCCGGCACGAGGTAGCATTCCTCCTCCTCCTGCTCCTGCTTCTGCTCCTGCTCCTGTTGTTGTTGTTGTTGTTGTTGTTGTTGTTGTTGTTGTTGTTGTTGTTGTTGTTGTTGTTGTTGTTGTTGTTGTGCCAGGACATGCTTTGGAGCACCCCCGTTTCGTGCCACCCTTGGGAGTGTGTATTGCACACACAATCCATATTCCATCATCAAGCGCAAGAACGGCTCAACCAGGTCACATTGCATATCCCTCCACAGCACCTCCAGCACTTGGCGGTGCAGGATGCCACGAAGGACCAGATCGTCCCATAAGTGGGCACCCAGCCTAATTGCTTCTTGGTCGTGAACATCGCTGTGGAGGTCGAAGTTGCGGATGACACTTGTCATCGTGTCTACCGCCCACTGGGGGCTCAAGATGACGAAGGCATCCATACCGTCGATGTCATCATAGTACAGCACCATAGAATACAGGTGCAGATACTTCAGACACATCCTCGTGTCCATCTTGTTTTGCAGGCCAAACTTTTTGCGACCAATATCTGTGGCTTCTGCGAGTGTAACAAAGGGCCTGTGAGATGCTCTGTGCATGCTCATCAACTCGTCGTAGAGGCGAATGTACGACACAGCTATTTCTCGGCTCACAAACGGCTGCGCCAGTGCTGTGAAGGAGATGGTCTGGCGCAGGTCCTGGATCATGGGGTCATCGATGGACTTGGTGTTGTCAATGGGCCAAAACCATAGGCCGTGCTTGTCGTTGTGGATGACAGAAGGGAAGGCCGGGTTGTACCGGAATCGCTTGAAGAGTTGTTCAGACACCTGGTGATGTTGTCTTGGGGATGCCACCACGTCAGCAAATGTGCCAATGATGAGGACGGGTGCGCCCTTGGCGTGGAGGTGGAGGGAGGAAAGCCAATACTCAATAAACTCCCAGGTAGCCTCGCGTTTCTCGTCATCTGGGTGCAACAAGCTCTCCATGGAGAATACCAGGAGGTACACCGCATACCTGTTGTGGGGGCGAACGTGGGAAGTAGTGGGGTGAGGGGTGTGTGGAGTAGGTTGAAACAGAATGAGGTGGACAGCACGCAGTACACACACACACACACACACACACACACACACACACACACACACACACAGAAGCACAGACACACAGACACACACAGACACACACAGACACACACAGAAGCACAGACACACACACACACCAAAAGGAATCTAATGGCTCACTCTGTGAGGAAGAAAGGGTGGAAGATGTAGAAGGTGGACTGGCCACCCAGGTCAAAGACCTTGAACGTGACCCGCGCTTTGCCTTGAGCAATTGTCATGTCAAGGTTCACATCTTTGATGGCCCGTTCAAGATCCTCTCGACTTGTTGAAGTCGTGGCAGCCTCATTGACCACGCCATCTGGGTCTGGAACTGGGTCTGTCTCGTCATGCAAGGGTGGGTCTGTGGGTTGAGCTATCGTGGAACCGGTTTGTGGCGCTAGCTTGCTTGCAGGATTTGTAGGTGGAACCGGAAGTCTTCGATGCCGTCTTGAAGTTGTTGGACCTGGTTTTTGCCGTTGTTGTTGCAACCGTGACCGCTGCTGCCGCTCTTGGGTTGCTTTCATCATCTCTTTCTTCAGTGTTGCCGCAATACCCGAAGTCCTTGCCAGTGCCGTATCTCGTAGGGTGCGCATGTACTCGGACGTGCCTGGCTCGACACTCTGTGGCGCGATGTTCAAGATGGAGGTGGAGCGGAACATGCAGAACGAGGGTCAAGGGACCAAACAGCGGTGTGAGGATAAGCAAACAAACACCGGCACTTATCCACATGCGCACAGCCTCCCCGATGTCCTTGCATGCACGCAAGCACCGCAGAGGAAGCACACAGTTGCTTGCGCGTATTTGCACCAGGCTATCACTATCACGACCACACCTGCCAATCACAGACGTCCATTGTTTCGACCGTGACATCCAAGTTCACACCATCCGCACCACGCGTGGAGTTGTGAACTGGATTAAACGTCTCGGCCATCAACGAGCGCAGCGTCGTTGTTTTGCCTGCACCTCCTTCTCCGACAATCATGAGCTTCGCACGTGCTGCCATCTGCGTTTGGGACTGTGCAGAAATCTCGAGCATGTGCCGAATGACTTCATTTTGGTATTTGAGCCGGGCCTGTTGGGTTTGAGGACATGTTACACACAGGTGTGTGTGTGTGTGTGTGTGTGTGTGTGTGAGGGGAGAGGAAAGCAACAGAATCGATCAACATTGCCCTTTTCGACACCCACTCACAGGGATGCACTGTCACACTTTTCCTCATTGGAAACCCACATCATTGCTGTTCGCTGGGCGCAAGTCCTCGAGACTAATAATGTCGATGTGGCCCCGGATTGCAGCTTCATCATAAGCGGTCTCCTCCTGCAAATTTGAGAGAGGATGCGACCACGCATACGGACGGTCACTGGATGAAACCATTCACATGGTAAGGGGCAGTACAATGATGTTGCATGGAATGAGAGCACATCGCATGTATACAGTCTCTTGGAAGAATCAACTCACATTTGCGTTAGTAGCAGTGATATCTGCGCCATTTTCAAGCAACAGCGAAACAATGGCCACTTGATTGTGCTTGCAAGCAAAATGAAGCGGTGTGTCGTCCTGAGCGTGCACGGTGAGTGTGGTTGACAATGAAATGGCGTTGGTTAAGCCAAGAGGGCCGCAGACAATCTTGCACAATGTAAAGAAAGCAACGGCTACGCAGTTACACACACACACACACGCACAACGCCGACACATACTTGTTCGTTCTGTTCATTGATGACAGTGTTGTTTTGCTTGATTAGGGTGCTTGCGGCCTCAAGGTTGCCATGCTTGCACGCGGAGAAAAACTCTTGTTGTTGTCGCCTCTTCTCGTCTCGTCCTTGGTTGAAGGCTACCCGTTCCTCAGACGTCCTGATGGAATAAAAGGAGACGAGGCAAAGTTGTACAAAATGTACGCGCACGAAGTAATGTGAGCATCCAGTCGCATACACCATGACCACGCCCGAGCAGGCATAGTGAACGGCGACCACACGCACACGCACACGCACACGCACACGCACACACACACACACACATACACACACACGCGCGCACACACACACACACACATGCATGCATGAGCAGGAGCACGCGCACCCAACCTCAGACGCTGAGCTTGGTGCAGACTCACCAATTACCCGTGTCGATGCGTCGGTTCACTGGCAGTGCCGCCCCAAAGGCACGAGCGGCCTGGGAAGAGTTGTGGTGGATGCTGCATGTTGGTGGTGTGCAGGCATTCACGTTAAATCAGAACTCCCATTTCAGACATGCACCATGACTCTCGTGTGTCCAGACATTACGGGGATAAAGGAGGAGAGGACGGAAGTTGTGTCACATGTACGCACAGAAGTCCTTCAAGGGTGCGATTCTTGCGCAATGCTCCTCCAAAGGCAGCTCCACCACTTGTACCAATGTCATTGTTGGACAAACTGCATGACGGCAAAGATGTATATGATATGTAAATGAAGAAGAGGCACGGCAAGGAAGTGACCATGACACGACGTGAGCCAGACTCACCTCAATCTTGACAGCCATGAATTGTGTCGCAACATTTCCGCCAATGCTCCCGCCGCAGCGGGGCCGAGGTCATTTTCCCAAACCCTTCGGGTCAAACGATTGGTGTGGTGTGACGTGTAAGCAAGCATGTGTGTGTGTGTGTGTGATTTCAGCGCAATTGAAATCGAGTTCGCACAGCATTGGTTGCAGGTTGCAGTTTGTGTCTTGCATCTTCAGTCCCGAGGTGAGTCTTTCCAACGTTCCGAGCAAGCTATGACCAGGGTGTCGTGCACTTACCATATTCTGTTCAGAGTGGTGTTGTCATGCGCAAGCGCGGCTGCGAGAGAACGGACGCCTTCATCACCCATGCGGTTCTTCCCAAGACTGATGCATCGTTTGGGCGAAAAGACGGAAAACACATGAGCAACCCGCGACAACACCATACAGTGCCTCATTTTCATGGCAATGTAGCAGGGACCGCGTGACAAAACCAGCGGTTACACTGTTGTGTTACACACGGTTGCATAGGAAGACGTGCACCAAATCGTGGCCAGACCATGAACAAACTCACTTCAGGTCCACAATGCAGGTGTTGTGTCTTAACATGTCTGCCAAGGCTGCAGCGCCGTCAGGCCCAATAGCGTTGCGAGACAGCCTGGGTAGCAGGGCAGACAAGCGGATCAAGGACCAATGAGGTAGTTGTTGCTCAGTGTATCCACGAGTGGCACAGGGACTGGTTACATCAGCACATGCAACTGCTAGCACATCGTCTTTGTCTCAACCAACGCACCAGAGAACCTTCACGCTGTTGTTGCGCTTGAGCATATCTGCCAAGGCCACTGTGCCCTCAGGGCCAATGGAGTTGTCATCCAACCTGGTGTCAGCCGCAAGACCACGCGCCATCAGCGGCAACGATACACAGAGACTCAAGGTTAAGCGCGGATGAGGGTTGCCCAAAAAGCTGTGTGAATGCCAAGCAATCAAGCGAGCCAGCTTGTGAACCAAACAGAAGTTAACAAAGCAAGGCCCTTTGTGCTTGTGAGCTCACACCTCACCAAAGTTGCTTCACCGTCTTGTTGTTTTCCAGTACATCTGCCAAGGCGGCCGCACCGACAGCGCCAATTGAATTGCGTTGCAAACTGTGACATGAACGCAGCGTAGTACCAGTTACAGAGTCATCACAGATCACAATCCGATGCGGTGAGTGCAAGATGATGAGCAGCGGAGATAACCATGCTGGCTAGCACCTGAGGAGGTGTGAAACGACCACCGCATGCTTCACGAACACCAACGATCCCTTCAACTGACTGTAGCTCTTGAAGTGAGGTGTTGCCTCTCAATGCCTCGGCAAGCGCACTCGCTCCATTATCGTCGAGTCCAGCATCTCCCATTCTTTATTAGAGCGGGGGGGGGGGGGGAGAGTGTGTGTGTTGTGAGCGAGCGAGCGTGTGTGTGTGTGTGTGTATGTGTGTGTGTGTGTGTATGTGTGTGTGTGTGTGTGTGTGTGTGTGTGTGTGTGTGTGTGTGTGTGTGTGTGTGTGTGTGTGTGCGTCGCAAGACTGCATGGTGGACGCACATACAGAATTCAGTTGCACACCGACACACCTACACACCTACAGACAAACACACCCCGACTCGACACAGACAAACACACACACACACACAAACCTATGCATACACACACACACACATACACACACATACATACAAACACACACGCATACACACACACACACACGCTCGCGCGCGTGAAAGCACATGGTTGTTTGGCACCTTTTCAGCATTCCAAACAGAAACACCTCTACACCTGCAACACTTCTTTGCAACAGTAACAGTAGGGTACTCACCTCACAAACTCTCCATAGGTGTTGGTGGCGATGTGTCTGATTTTTCGTTTCACCGAATCCTCCAACCTCGTCTTTGCTAAGAACGCTTCCACCTTCTCGAGCACTGTTGGCGTCGACGTTGTCGTCATCGTGACGCAGTTGGTGCCCCCTGCACACACACAGCACCGCAGCACTACAGCAGCTATGCAGCTTGCTTGTTGTCCGTGGTCCTGCGTTGTTTTCTGTTTTGATGGTGGTCCTGTGGCGGTGTATTGCGGAAAATTGAACGCCCTCACGAAAGCTATTCGGCTGGTTTTGTTTGTGTTTTTGTTTATTGCCACGCGATCATGGAACCCCATGATGCGTGAACCGCACTCAGACTCAAGGCATCAATGAATACGTGCATGACTCCGCATGTGTGTGTATGTGTGTGTATGTATATGTGTGTATGTGTACATGCGTGCACCCGGGTTCTCTCCTCACTCCGCCCCCAACTGGTAAGTGACACTCAAGTAAGCAAGTCAGTAAGTACAAAGCAAGCAAGCAAGCAAGCAAGCAAGCAAGCAAGCAAGCAAGCAAGCAAGCAAGCAGAGCAACGCAAGCAAGCAGTGAAACACAAATTGTGCACGGGTGAGCGGAATGTCTGAACCCTTGAACCAGTCACAGGTGCACTTGCACGCATGCGCGTCCTTCTAAAGTTCTTGCTACAGCGTGTCACAGACACCGCCACAACCACCGCAGCACCACAACTTGCTCCTCTAGTTCGTCCGCTCATTCGCTCACTCGCTACGCTTCTGAGTTACGGGCGATCAACGCCCATGTGACGTCTGCAGCCCATTCACAAAGCAAACGGAACACGATGTGAATGTGAGCCGAGTGATACCATGGAACGCATGGCGCGCACACATGATGGCGAAATCAACGCTCACAGCATCAACACGCACGAGCCCCCCACACCCACACCCACACTCACACACGCACACACACGCACACACACACACCCACCCACACGCACGCACGCACGCACGCACACACACACGCACGCAGCACGCACACACACGCACACACACACACACACACGCACACACACACACACGCACACACACACGCACGCACGCACACACACACACACACACGCACGCCCAGTCCCATCCACCACAAAACAGCTCACCCTGCGTCTGCCGAAAAACACGCCAGTAAACCTGCGGCGTCGTCGTGGTGATTGCCCTTCCTCCTCCTGCTCCTGCACTTGTTGTTGGTGTTGGGTCTGTTTTGGCGACTTCGGAGCGCTTTCTTCAGCCACCGGCACTGGTGTTGTCATCATGGCCATGGCCGCTGAATCCACATCCACATCACCACCACCACCACGACGTGGCTGCATGTTAACAGCAGCTGTTGCACGACGCCGCCGACCACCATCACTACCCGTACCATCAGTGGCCACGTGCAGGCGCGGCTGGCGGTATCTGCGATGATCATCATCGTCTTCGAGGTCGCGACCGCAAACACCAGCATCACCAGCATCTACACTGCCAGCACGGCGGCGGAGGCGGCCACGACGACCAGACGCATCCACGTCTCTTGTTGCTGCTGCTGTTGTTGCTGTTGTTGCCGTTGTGACACAGCCACGTGCAGCATGCCTGCCCCTGTCTTCCTCACTGTGCATCTGCTTGTTGTTGTCGTCGTTCTCGTCACTGGCACTGCTACTGCTGCCGCTGCCCCGCTTGCGCACAACAGCACCATCGCGATCACCACCACCACCATCAACAACCGCAGTATCAACAGCGGCACAGTCAGCGTTCATCCCAACGACACCCTCCTGTCTCTCCTGTCTCTCCTCCACTTCCTCCTCGTCCTCCTCCTCGTCGAACACGAGTGCAAACGCGTCGCTGCTCATATGCGTGTGCGTGGACGTGGCACTTGATCTGCGCACCGCTTCCTGCAGATCTGTCGCGTTCTTAAACACGGACTGCCGGCGCAACCGACCGGTAATTGGGTGCGACGACGACGATGACGACGACAACGACGATGACGGGCCCCTGTGCCGTGTGCCTTGATCCAACGACAATGCACGCCTTCGCCCACCACCACCACCACTGCTGTCGGTCATGCCAAAGCTGGTGTGGACAGCACCGTCTGGGTGTGGCTGTGATCCGCAGGCGTCAAGGTGGTGCTGATGCAAGGCATCGCGGGCGAAGGCGATGGACGGTTCATGACCAGCGGCTGTTGCTCGCCGTTGCTTCTTCTTCTTCTTCTTCACCATCATCTGCTGTTGTTTCCGTTGCTTCTTCTCTTCCTTCTTTGCTTGCTTTGCCTGTTTCTTGCTCACCTCCCGTGCACTGTCGGTACCAGTACCACTGCTGCCAGCGCTGCTGTTCCTGCTGCCTTCCAATGGGCTCATGCTCGTTGTGTTTTGCCTGCCCTTCCTTCCCTTATTCTTCTTGTTCTTCTTCCACACGCGGTTTCGCCAGAACGCACCCAGCGATCCGCGTCGGCGTCCAGGCGTCGCCTCACCACCATCATCTTCGCCAACATCATCATCATCATCATCGTCGTCAACCTCATCGTCAACCTCATTGGCGTGTCCAGCAGCATTGGCAGCTAGTGTCGTTGTAGCTGTTGTTGTCGCTGCCACTGCTGTTACCGCTGCCGTGGTTGTCGTTTCATGCTGTGTGCTTGCATCGCCTGCTTCTCTTCCCATTCCTCTGGCACGCCCAGCTTCAACATGTTTGCGTGATTGCACCACATCTTCTGCCTCAGTGTCTGTCATCGTTTCCACCAGCTGCACACGCACGACAACACCGGCGTTCTCAGCACCTCCGCTGCCCTTCTGCTGCTGCTGATGCTGTTGCTGATGCTGTCGTTGTTGTTGTTGAAAGTCTTTGCTGCCTTCGCGGCTGCTCTGTGCCTCCTCCGTGTCCACATCCGGAATGTCTGCCAGCTGTGTTCGGTTTCGCCACTCGCGCTGTCGCTGTTCGTTGCGGGGGCGTGACACCTGCTCAAACACGTCGCGCGGAGACTCTGGCGTGCGAACACCGTGGCGGCGGTGGCGGCGATGTGGACTCAGCTTCCGCCCGCGTCGCGCTGATGGCGACGACGACGACGACGCTGTTGGCGAGAATGACGGCGACGGGGAGGGTGATGTGGATGCAGAGCCGGGTTGCATATGTGCTGTTGTTGTTGTTGTTGTTGTTGTTGTTGTTGTTGTTGTTGTTGTTGTTGTTGTTGTTGTTCCTGTTGTGGCTGATGCTAGTTGCGATGACGATGATCTTGGTGTTGCTGTTGTTGTTGCTGTTGCTGGGATTGCGATGGTCAAGCCACTTCCTCCATGTGCTGCAGAAGGTGCTGCTGTGATTGCAGCGACGTCATCATCAGCGTCGTATGCACCGCCATCGTTACCACCAGCAGTCAAGGCAGTGGTGCTTGCATTGCGGGAGTTCCCACCGCCAAACGTTGCGCTGGTCACAGTGGTGTCGTGCACATCCTCAACACTGTCATCGCCATCATCACGATCATTCCCATCACCGCGAATGCCGTCACTGCTATCATAGTCGTCGTCGTCGCCGTAGTCATAGCAGTCATCATCGGTGGTGGAGATGCCGCCAGCGGTGCTGTCGCTCGCTGGATATGAGGCAGCAGATGACAGCGACGTGAAACTGTCCTGCCGCACACCAGATGGTGAATGCTGCTGCTGCTGCTGCTGCGACGACTGGTGGCGATGGTGACGGTGACGGCGGGCATCGGTGTTGAAGTCAGCACCAAAGAATGCGCGCGAGGGCAGCGATGCTGATGGTGATGCATCACTGTGGGACTGGCGATGGCGGCGGCGACGGCGGCTGCCTGGCGAGGAACCACGACGAACGTCGAGCGACACGGCGGATGAAGCAGCCGATGCGGAGCCTGGCGTCGTTTCAAAGTCGGAGGACACCAACGATGTCCGTCGCGAGTCAGACTGCGTTTCAGATGCAAACATGTTGCTGCTGGCCCGCGAACCCCGCAGACGAAAGTCAACGCCGCACGAGCTAGCCCAGCTCTGCATGGAGTCTGTTGATGGCTGCTGCTCCAGCATTTGCCCATCATCACCATCGTCATCACCATCCTCACCATGGCTGGCACTGTCTTGGTCATGCCTGTGGCGGTGCGGGTGGTGTCGCACGGTGCTGTCAGCGTTGTCGTTGGTCGTGCTGTCAGTGTGGTGGGTGTGTTCCGCGAGTGCGGGTGTTGGTGTAGCGGAGCCACGGTCATCAGCAGCCGACGTGGGCCGTGAGGGCTGTAGCGTTGGCGATGGCGAAACCGCCTCCACAGTGATGTTGAACGATCCCCGATCCGTCTGCACAGACATGCGCGTGTTCTGCAGCAAGTCGACCGCTGCGAGCGGCTCCGTTCTGCTTCGGTGATGGGAAGCTGAAATGTGTTGGAAGGGGTGATGGGGATATGCGTTGGAAGGGGGTGATGGGGATGTGTTGGACAGGTGTAAGTACACGTGAGCACGGGTAGGTGAGTGATGTGATATGTGTGTGCGTGCGCGTGTGTTTATGTGCATGTGCATGTATGTGTATGTGTGCAAATGTGTCACGCGTGCATCAGGCATATTCACATGCGCGTGAACATTCGAGACAAACACAGTTGAGTGGTATGACTCACCCAATGGCTCTGCCATTTCGTACACGTCCTCCTGGTCGCTACTGCAGCAGCGAGAGACATGCGACAACAGGGCAAAAGATGTGCACAGTCAACAAGGGATGGAACGTGTACGCTCATGGCAGGTAAGAGGCAAAGTGTCGCGTCGCACACACACACACACACGCACACAAACACGCACACACACACACACACACACACACACACACACACACACAAACACGCACACAAACTCGCACACACACACACACAAACTCGCACACAGTGCACACAGTGCACACACACACGCACACATAATGAACGTACTCGACGGCGAGGAGGTGCTGGGAGGAGGATTCCCGCGACGAGGACGGACCATACCCACCATGGTGCTGCTGATGGTGGTGGTGGTGGTGGTGGTATTCCGTCATAGACCGTGGGAAGGACAGGTGGGAGGACTGCCGGCCGGATGGGCGCCGTGTCGAGGCAGTTCGTGACGCGCGAAGACGGGAAGACCCACGCACGACCGGACGCAGGCGCCTGCTGCTGCGTCGCCTGCTGCTGCGTCGTCGCGAGCGCGAGCGCGATGAACGGCGGGATGGCGGTGTCGGTACAGCGGTGTGCAGAGACAGCTCACCCGCAACCGCGCGGCGACACAAGTGCTTGAACTCCGCCTGGGTCGGTGATGCGAAGAAGGGAGGGGGTGTGCGTGTGCAAATACAAGTGAGGAAGAACGAAGGCGCGTTGCTGTTGTTGTTGTTGTTGTTGTTGTTGTTGTTGTTGTTGTTGTTGTTGTTGTTGTTGTTGTTGTTGTTGTTGTTGTTGTTGTTGTAGTTGTTGTTGTTGTAGTTGTTGTAGTTGTTGTTGTTGTTGTTGTTGTTGTTGTTGTTTGCGCACGCGCCCGTATGTGTGTGCTTGTGTGTTTGGATAGCAATGTGTGCAACGAGAAGCAATTGGAGTAAGACTGTGTCACACAGCCAACATCACTGGAGTTGTGCAACCCGCCTCCCGCTCGCAAAGGGTAACAGTACGCATGCATGGACAAGTGTTCGCACCAGGTTGATGCTCCTCACGCCGTGGGAGTTGGTATGCGTCTTCACCTCCATCATGATCTTGCTCGCCTAATTGAAAATCCACAACCAAGTGACGGCGTGCAAACACACGTGGCGGTTAAAATTGGATCACAGCACGGGGCAGCCGCAACACACATGAACATGCGCCATAAGGAGCAAGCATACCACATACGATGCAAGATATGTACCAACAATAACGTGGCACACACACACACACACACGCACGCACTGATACTCACACACACACATACTCACACTGATACTCACACACACTGATACTCACACACACACACACACACACACACACACACACACACACACACGCAATCACACACACACACACACGCAAACGCACTGATACATACCCCCTCCCCCTCACACGCACACACCTCGAATGCGCGCATGCCAAAGTAGACCATACTGGCAAGCGCGTCTGCAACGGTGACCCAGCCATCATCGTCCACATCCAGCGCTCGAAACGCAGTCTGACAGGGAGTGCACAGTGGAACGTGGTGAGCTGTGCGTGGAAGTCACTTGGAGGTGTTGTTCGCTCGCGCATGTGCACGTGTTTATGCACGCACGCACACACACACATACACACCAGCATACACAAACACATATGCACAAACAAACACACCCACACACAAGCACACACCTCCAGTTCGCTGTCGTCGATTGGATCGAGTTCCAGCAGTTGCATCACGTGGAGTTGCGCACAATCCACTTCGGTCTGAACATCCGCCAGGGAGGTGTTCTTGAAGGATGGCAAAACGGTGTGGCGAGGCGATCGCGGGTTGAGATGAGGGATTTGAAGCGGCGAAGACACGTTCATCGCCATCCCAACAACAGCATTTGCAGGCACACAGAAGGTGTACACATGAAAGCAGACACACACACGCACACACACAACACGAAACACGCACACGCACACACACACACACACACACACAACACGAAACACACACGAAACACACACACAAACACAAACACAAACACGAAACACACACACACACACACACACACACACACGTATGTACACACCACGCAGTCGACGTCCTCCAGTTGCGTGACGACGCTTTCAAGTTGACGGGTCCACTCCTCGCTGATGGACGACCGACCGTCATGTTCGTCACCATCACCATCACCGTCATTGTCGTTGTCATCGTCATTGCTGTGGTGATGAAAGCCATTACGCCCACGGGCGGGCTCAAACGATGACGACGATGATGATGGTGATGGTGGCCGGCGATGCCTGGAAACACCACGACCACGCCCGTAAGCAATCGCAGCATCAATGTCATCAATGCCATCGGTGTTGTCGTCGTCATCGTCAGTGAACTGAATGCTGTCGCGCTGATCAGCGCCACCAACACCGCGGTCGAAGCCACCAGCTTGGTGCATGCCATCGTCATCATGTTCGCCATCATCGACATCAGTGTCGCGTTCGTGCTGCCCACGCGCCGCGGCTTGCACTGCTGTTCGCAGCAGTTCTCGCTCACCACGACCACCTCTCTCACTGCCATGGCGATCACGCTCGCGCCCGCGTCCGCGCTCTCGATGGCGCCGCCCTCGTTGCTGCCGCTTGTTCTGATGCGATGACTGCACTGCGTCTGCATGCCCTTCCTCTCCCTGTTCCTTCCGCTGTTCTTGTTCTTCGTTCCCGTGCATCTCATCAGTATGGTCATCTCCTTCCTCGTCGGCAGCGTCATATGACGTGGTTGTGCTTGACAGTGCTGCCTCTGTCCACGACGACACGTCTTCACTCGACACTGCTACTGTTGGCCCAGGGTCTGAAAGTGGTGCGTGTGCACTGTGGTGTGCGCTTGGCGTGCTCGCTGCGCCGCGTGCTGTGTCAGCCTGTATCCCCTCGACGTGGTGCAGGGAACTTGGCGGCAGCGTCGCGGTTGTGTGCACGGTGACAGATGGCCGCGGCGAGCTTGCAGGCGAGCTGTCAAACAAGGGATGAAGAGCAAGGGAGAGGACGATTTTGTGTGAGCGGATGTGTGTGTGTGAGTGTTTGCGTGTTTGCGTATTTGCGTGCGTGTGTGTGTGTGTGTGTGTGCATGCGTGTATGTGTGTGTGTGTGTGTATGTGTGTGTGTGTGTGCGCGTGCGTGCAAGCACAAAGTAAGAAATGGCACGGGCGAGTGAGGACAACCGTATGGTCACACATCCAAGCACGCCTCCGTCAGCACAACTCACCTGTGGGCACTGAGCTGTATGAGGTCATCTCTGGAAATGTTGCGTTGCACCTGACGAAGCGGCATTCACGATGACAGATGCCAATGAGTCCAAGCAAAGCAAAGCAAGGCAAAGCAACGCAAAGCAAAGCAAGGCACAGCAACGCAAAGCAAAGCAAAGCAACGCACAGCAAAGCAAAGCAAGAAGAGAAGATGTGTTCAGAGTGGCACTGAATGCTTTGCCGACAACTGGTAGCACAATGCACTTTGTGTGCAAACTCACCATCTGCCTGACTTGCTCAAACCCAGCGTCATCACCTGGGCGAAGAAACATCCCTTCAAAGATCTGTTCAAGGAAAGGTGACGAGGACATGGATGAGGACAGCTTGTGTACTCGCACATTCACACATCCAAGCCCGCACACACAAATACAAACAAGATCACACACACACACACACAGAAGTGTTGACGTACGCTTGCGCTATGTTGCCGCGTCATGCCGGCGCCTTCGCGGTGAGCACGAGAGCGCCGAACACCTGAACAGTACCGAGCAAGGCCCGCAGATGGTGTGAGCGAAGGTGATGCATGTAACCACGGTTCACTTAACATGCACACACACACGTACACGTGCACACAAGCACACAAGCATACACGTATGCTTGCACGTGCATTAAACTAAGCATGCACGCACTTGTTCTGAAATGAGTTGGGCGCATGCGAAGCCGTCCAGCACGGGATGTGGGCGACGTGAAGTGCTGTGAAGGAAAAGCAGAAGCAAGTATTGACGGAGGTGACGATGTGAGGAACATCACAAATTAGCACTTAGCACACACACACACATACACACACGTGTACACACACACATACACACACGTGTACACATACACACACATACACACGTACACACACACACACACACACGCACGCACAGAGTCATTGTACCATGACAGAGTGTTGGCGGCGAGCCGCTGACAGCGGCATTGATGACGCCGAGAGGGACGCGTGGGAGAGCGTTCGTCCTTGTACTCCTGTCGACGCGAACATCACCGCCGGGTTCTTCGCACCACCTGCACTGCGCTGCGCTGCTGTTGTTGCTGTCGTCGTTGTCCGGCTTGTTGCTGCTGCTGTGCCAGCTGCTGATTGTGCTGCGGATGACAATGCACGCGTGCTGGCAACAGAGGATACTGAGATGGCGCGTGACGTTGGACTGCGACGAACAGAACCGGTCGATGCCACACGGCCTCGCACGCTGCGCAGCTGTCGCTGGTGGCGCTGTCTGTGCTGCTGCTGGCGGTGGCTGCTGCTGCTCGTGCTGCGGCGGAAGTTGCGTCCAACCACAGCGGCGCCCAGGCTTTCGAAAAAGGAAGGTGAGGGCGGGGCAGACGTGAGCGGTGTGGGCGACCGGCGAAAGGACCGCGGTGACGACGAGGTACGAGGGGACACGTGCGTTGACACGTGCGTTGAGGCAGGCGACGCGCCTTTGCTTCGCCGTGTCGAACGCTTTCGCGGTGATGTGCGCCGGCTGAAGTGGAGTTGAGGTGATCGTGTTGTGGGAGGGGGGTCGGGGTGGGAGCATGTGGAGTAGTGAGATGATCGCCGGGACATGTGACAGCGCACTCATTGAGTAGAGTGAAGGAAAGCAAGAAGAATGGTCACGAAGCGTGACACAAACTCGGTGTTCACAGGCACGCAGACGCAGACGCACACGCACGCACACACGCGCACATACACACACGCACACGCACACACACACACACACACACACACACACACACACACACACGCACGTACAACGGCTTGGCTTACACGACGGTGTCGACGACGAGGGGTTTCTCCACATCCCCGCTCTCCCGCACAACGAACATCGTCTTCGTTCGCGAGAACGTGGGGCGGGTACGCCTGTGTACATGCAAGCAAGCAAGTGAGTGAGAAAATGTGGGTGAGTGCGTGAGCGCATGTGAGTGCGCGCGCGCATGTGTTGATTGGTGCTAGGGACCAGTTGCAACAGCAATGGCAATATACAGCCGGTGCGCGGGTGCGAACATTTGCAACATACGCTTGGCGGTCCGGGACATGGCCAAGGGCACGGTGGATCTCATTCACACGCGCCTGTGGGGGCCAATGGACAGATGGATGGGTGAATGAATGGATGGATGGATGGATGGACACATGTGTGTGTGTGTGAGTGTGTGTGTTAGACAGGGAAGTGGCACGCAGACACTTGGAATAGACACGCAAGCAATCGATTGGTGGCGCCACACACACATACACACACACACACACACACACACACACACACACACACACACACACACACACACACACACACACACACACACACACACGCACGCACGCATTCAAACCACACGTACGCGGCCAAATTCAGCTGATGGGCGGGCGGGACGTCGTGCCTCCGCAGCCTGGTGGACGCGGAACCATGAAGAAATGGTGAGACCCTGACTTGACATGATCAACAATCAAACGTGCTCTGGCGCATTCACACACATGCACAGGCATGCACAGGCACGCGCGCACACACACAGACATAGACACAGATACAGACATGAACACACAGACGCACCAAGCTTGTTGCCGAGTTGACGTGTGTGCTGAGGGCGGAGCGGACGCGTGGGGGACGGGAGGACGTGCCCACGTGACCTGCAAGGCATCATTGATTCGTCCCAACGGTCAAAGATGGCGGCTGTTGCTTCACACATGGCACACCATCGAGATAACTACACATATGTGCACACACACACACACACAAGTTACGCACATTCGAGGGCCTTGCGACAGGTGGGCGAGTAGCATGCTGCCCATCCCTCGGACCGAGCGATGCACAGGCACGAATAACAGCGGTTGCCTGTAAGGAGATGCAGGGGCGTAGCGTGAGGAAGTTATTCAAACTCTCATCAAACAAAGAGTACAGAAACGACCGCACCCAATCAACACACACACACACACACATACACACACAAAGCACTGACCACCAAAGAGGGCGTGGTTTGAGCTTGTGCGAGTGGAGGCTGGCGAGCTCTGGTGGACGTCTTCGGACGGGCGACGCGACGACCACGCGCTTGTATCGGAAATATCCTCCCATTCGCTCTCCGACGCCCCTCCTCCTCGCATGCCGCCTGCTTGTGTGTGTGCGTGCGTGCGTGTGTGTGTGTATCAGTACATCAGGTGACAACAGGGATGCCACTTCACAAGCAACGAGCAAACAGTGAATGTAGCGGACAAGTTGCATGTGTTCACCTCGAAACGCAAACAGCGAGTTATTGACCGTCCGTTGCCCTGTATGCACGCATCCCATCCCAACATGCCAGGAAATGCCACGTGAGTGCTCCCTCGCACACACACACACACACACACACACACACACACACACACACACAAGCGCGCTTCAACGCACATGATGCTGCTTGTTTGCTCTGCCGACGTGGGCGCGAGCGCTGGTGGTGGTGTTGCGGCGGCTCATAACGCCGCTGTGCTGCCATGCCGGTCTTGCGAAGCGACGTCGCCGACGAGGACGCGGATGACGACGACGATGACAACGCAGTAGCATGTGGTTGTCCGGGCTTTGCTGTTCCTGCAGCAACAGCACCACCGTGCAAGCAAGCGCCATGGCGTCAGGGTATCAGGCATGCGCACGAACCATCTCACACGACCCAACAACAGATGGCACGAGGCAAAAGAGCCACAAAAAGTCATCCCAAAATTCAAATCAACCGCCACAGCCTTGAAGGGGTTTCCGATGCGTCTCACTTCGCGAAACCGACCCCAAGCAGTCGCGAAACCGACAGCGAGCACACGCATTCACCAGCACCACCGCCATCCATCTCCCCCTGCTTGTCAACACAACACCGCCACCACCACCACCACCACCACCACCATCGACCATGCACGCCTTACCTTTGTTTGCTTCGCGTTCACGCAGGTCTCGAAGCGCCTCCTCGGCCGTGGATGAGGTGGATAGCGTCGTGCTTGCATGCACGCGTGGCGAGCTCACAACCCGCCCACGTACACGAGGTACGACTGCACTGCTGCCGTCACCAACACCAGCACCAGGAGCACCACTGCTGGCGCTGGTGCTGCCGCTCTGGGACAAGTTGCCTGCAGGCAAGTTCTGGCTTTCGAGATTGCGACTGAGAGCGGCGCTGACGCTGCTGTTGCTGCTGGCACTGCTGCGGGAGCTGGCCGAGCCTTGCCGCACGGCAGCGGCAAGCCACGACAGGTGCGGGTGCTGACTGAAGAGTTCTTGGACGGAGCTTTGGCTCTCCCGCCCGCTGCTGTCCTGCGTGGTGATGCTGCAGACGCTCGAGCGACACCGCACTGTCTCATCTGCTGTGGATGCAGCTGAGGACGGCACAGCATGCTCGTCATCGGTCTCTGCGATGGAGTCAACGGACACACGCTTGCTTGCAAGCATCGTCTGAAGCAGGTGCACTTGTGTGGTGTTGCGCGACGCGCTTGTGCTGGGTGTTGTTGTTGATGGTGCTGTTGCGGTTGTGGATGACGACGCGGTTGCAATGTTGTCGTGTACCATCACCACCTCTTCAGCCCGCTGCCTCGTGGCGTGCTGCCGTTGTTGATGCTGTTGGCGTTGGTGGTGTTGCTGCGGTTGTTGATGGCGGCGCTGTTGCCGCTGGTGGCGATTCCAGTCTGCTTGCTCGGTGTCTGTATCTGTGTCCGTGCCATCGCCGTACAGGTGATGGCGATGCAGCTTCGCTCTGCGAGCGCGCCGTCGTCGCCGCCGCTCAGGTGAGCTCGTTGACCTGGGCTTGTAACCGCCATTGCCATTGTCGCCACGGCCACCATCGCCATCATCATCATCATCATCATCATCATCATCATCATCACCAAGCGTGTCTTCACCGTCATCATCACCGTTGTTCATGAACACAAAGGAGGACGCTGTCTCGGTGTCATGGCGGGGCGCATGTGCATCTGTGATGGTTGATTCCTCCTCTTCCTCCTCATCCTCATCAGCAGCATCATCGTCGTCACCATCGCCATGCATGCATGCAGGCGGCTCACTGGCATCAAAGGCGGCTTCCTCAAGAAGCGCGTCAAAGTGGCTCGGGCGATGTTGCTTGCATGCATGCATGGACGGACGCCGCATATCGGGCGGAGAGGCAGCAGACGTGCCGGTGGACAAGCTGCTGCGCTTGCGCTGGCGCTGATACGCTGAATCGTGGCTTGCACGCGGGCTGCTGGCTGTGCTTGACGCAGGAAAGGCGCTGGAGCGGGCAGAGAACACACCGCTGCTTGCGCTGCTGCGTGTGCTGCCGACGTGATCGTACACACCCTCTGCATGGGTCACGCGGCGCTCACGTGCACCCGCGCTCACGTGGTAATAGTCGTCGTCGCCGCTGCTGTCGTCATCTCTGTCACGATCGTCGTTGTCGTCGTTGTCGTGCCCGGCAAACGTGTATCGACGGTGCGGGGTGCCGCCGATGGAGCTTGCGCGACGTCGCGCACGCTGCTGCTGCTGCTGCAGGTGCGTCTTGTTTCCTTTGCTGCTGGTGCTGCTGGTGCTGGTGGTGATGGTGGTGGTATGTTGGTGGTGCCGGGTGACGTGCGTGTTGCCCCCAAACGAGCGCATGAGCAGTTCTGCATTGGGGAGTGGCGGTGATGGGCGGTCGCCGGCGTGGGTTGGCGATGCAGGGTCATATGCGAGGTTCTTTCCCGTGGGGCTGTTGGGAAGGCTGTTGGCATCCTCGTTGCCGGTGCGAGCGGTGTGGCCGCGCGTGTCGTCGTTTTCATCGGCGTCGGCGTCGTCGTCGTCGCACACGTTGCCTTCGTCGAGGGAAGGCGCAGGGGACTTGGCTCGAACAATGGCTTCTGTTCGCGGTGAGAGTGCTGGTTGTGCTGGAGTTGTGGCGGTGACGTCTTGTGTGCGCACGTCGTGCTCAGCACGCGACGTGTCGTGTTCGTCTGCCGGCGCACTGTCACTCATTGTGCTTGTTGTGAACAATGGGGCTGTGTGCCGCGAGGCGTCGGTAGTTTGTGTTGCTCCGCCTCGGGGGGTTTTGTCTGTCATTCATTCACATGCAGCAGCACAATAGCGCATTCACAGCAACACGGGCCAGGAACAGAGAAAAAACGACCAACGTTGCGCAGCACGAGGTCAAAATCGCGTAAGGATGATGACGGTTGGTGGGGATGGAGTGAGCTGGCGAGCCAGGTTGGGAAAGGGGTTGGAAACGCAACCCAACGAAACACAACAGTTGGGGGGGGGGGGGGGGGGAGGGAGGGTAGGGGCAGGGAGAGCACACACGCATGTGCTCGTGTATGTGTGCTTGTGTGTGTGCTTGTGTTTGTGTATGTGTGCTTGTGCTTTTGTATGTGTGTGTGTGTGTGTGTGTGTGTGTGTGTGCAAGAGCAATGGTAGGCGACACCAACTAGCGTCCACATAGCCGCCCACGTACACGCACATAGACACGCACACACACGCACACACACACGTACATAGACGCGCAACGGCTTCACACACTCCAACCAACCAGGATAGGACGGAGGTTTGAACAGCCAGGAACTGAGGAGCGGCGTGAATGGGCTGGGAGCTGTCGCCACAAGGATGTATGGCCGTCAGCGCGCCCACACACGGCTGGCTTGGTGCTGCAAGTAAGCGCCTTGAGTGTGTTTAACAAGTGTTGGGGTTGAAAGCTGCGTTCGCTGCGGTGTTTGCTCTGGTTCGCGGCAGTGTGTCATGCGTGCAGGCAGAGGAGATGTGGGGGCGGTGAGTGGCGGCACGAAATGGGAGAGAGCGAGGCAGCGTGATGTTTAGGATTCGAGAAGCAGAGGGCGCGTGCATGTGTTATTTGTGTGTTGTGTGAGAGGTGGGTGTGTTTATGCGCCGTTGGTGCACAGATACACAGAAGCGGGGCAGGAGGGCGGGGAACAGGGAGGAGAGAAAAGGAGGGGGAGGGCCGGCAATGTTGCACTGTGTTCGTTGATGGTATTCACACACACACACACACACACACACACACACACACACACACTTACCAACACACACTTACCAACACACCAACGAACGTGCTCACCTTGTTTGTGTATTGTCGTTGTGTTTGAAACTCGTCTCTGTCAGAAGCTGCGAGTCTCGTCAAGCGAGTGTGAGTGCAGAGAACAGAGACAAAGAGACAGAGAGACAGGGAGAGAACAGAGAGGTGGAGAAAGGAGGACGGGAACAAGAACACACCGACACGCGGCAGAGAATAAATGACAAGCAGCACAGCTGCCGTCCTCAACGACTGATGGCGTGTTGGTTGATGGGCGAGAGTAAGAAAGGATAGCGTCGTTTGGGATGGTTGGTGGGTGGGTTGGTTCAGGTTCGGCTTGGTTGGTTGGTTGGTGGGTTCAGGTTGACGGGTTTCAATATGCGTGAAGGAGGAGGGGAAGTGAGCCTCCCCCCACTCCACGTCTTGTCACGTCTTGATGATGTTGTCGCGTGTCGTGCTGCTTGGGTGTGGTGTGTGTGTTTTTCGTGTTTTCGTTGTGCTCTGTGTTGTGGGCGAGGGGGCGGATTGCAAGGGCTTCTTGGCGGTGGTGGACGTGGTGGTGGTGTTTGTGATGGCAACAACCAAACTTTGGCCACTGCCAGAGGTAATCAATCGTCTTCGGTCAGGCTCGGTCAGCAATGGTGGGCGCTGTTGCTTTTTCGGCCGGCACCAACACCGCCACGAACCGGCCAGCGGAGGGAACGGTCGTTGCTTGTTGTTGGGGTTGTGTGCTGGGGAAGTCAAGGTACGAAGGCGTTTGCTGCGTGCAAAAGCAGGCGTTTGCGTCATGCGTTGTTGTGGGTTGTGTCTCGTTGCCGTGGCTGTGCGCGCGTATTGGTTGACGTGGTAAGGTGAGTGTTGGGTGGTCGCAACCGACGCTTTGCCCCGATAGTCGTTGGGAGGTTGCACCGCCATGTCCCAAACCAACGAAAAACAAGCCAAAACCTGCAGTTAGCGGCTTGCTGCCTGTGATTGTGCTGTGGGAAAGGAAGAGGGGTGATCGAAACGGTGGTGCGAACCTGTGCGAACAACACGCACGCGCAGTCAGCAATGTTCAGCCTGGCAGCTTTGCTTGCAGGCAGATGGGTAAAATTTTTGTTCGAGGCACTTAAGCGTCTTGAGTCATTTGAAAAACCTGACAAACTTGCCAAAATGTGTCCGCAAAATGGCAAAACGGATACGGCTGTTTGTGTTCGGTTGTGTCTGTTTACGTGTGTGTGCATGTGTGTGTGTGTGTGTGCATGTGTGTGCGTGTTTGGTGTGTGTGTGTGTGTGTGTGTGTGTGTGTGTGTGCGTGTGTGTGTGCGCGCGCGTTTGTTTGCGCGTTATGTGTGTGTGTGTGTGTGTGTCTGGTGTGTGTGCACCTCTGCGGTTTCGCTTCTGTTCAGCGTTGCGTCTCTTCATGTCTCCGCCATTCCTTCATTCTACCATACCTTCATTCAATGTAATCAAATGCCATAAGCGGCAGAACAGCTATCATTCACAAAGCCTCGTGACGCCGCGGACCACACTCAAAGCAAGGGGGAGCATGGCCGGGGCGCACATGGGCCAACACACAAAACGAAACAAGGAGACTTCGAAAGAACACAAGACAACAAACAGCAGGAGCAAAGTAAAGAAACAACACCAACCATACATACGGGTCAACCATACATACGGGCGAGCGTGCATGTGCACATGCACGTCACCATACGATACTGATAGCACACACGGGTTAAGGAGAAGGAGAGGAGAGGGAGGGGGTTACAATAACCAAAATATGCAGCAGCAGCTGATATGTCCAGGGGCTCGAGAACGAGAGAAAGCACCAATGGGTTCTGCCAACTCAAAACACACACGAAGCCAATGCACACAGACACACACACACACACACACACAGACACAGAGACACACACAGACACACACAGACACAGACACACACACACACACACACGAAGCCAATACACACAGACGCACAGACAGCCACACGAGTGCGTGTAGGATAGGTTCACTCGTGGAAGCGCGTGAAGCAGCGACTGTCGGGGTGCACCTTCATCTCATGCTGCTTGAAGGAGTTCAGCTCCCGCTTGATAAACACCTGAAGTGACGTGTTGACGGGTGACGTGGCAATGTGAGCATGTGAAGTGTAGCAACGTTGTGTAATGTAACGACTGTGCAGGGGAGGAGATGCGATTGGAAGAACACTGCAAGCAAAACCCACAACAGCAGCATCAAAGTTCAAACACACACACACACAAACACACACACACGCAAACACACACACCTTGTCTGCGGTGGTGAGGTAGAGCCAGGGTGCGGGACCGCTGCGGTCGTACTGGTCGTCATTCCACGTGTTGGCAACCTCAACAAACTCGTAGAAGCTGTACACGAAATCGAAAAGGGAGGAATCGTGAGCGACAAGCATCACCTGCAAACCTTCAGTGGCACCACACCCACACACCACACACCACATCACACCACACACCACACACCACACACACACACACACACACACACACACACACACCACACACACCCTCCCAGCACTTACTGGATGGATGGTTTGGGGGCAGAGGAGCCCATGCGCGTCAGCTTGCGAAGTGTCGTGAGCATGCGACCAGCACTGCTGTCGTCATCAGAGGAAGGTGCCCCATGTCCCATGTTGTTGTTTGGATTGTGACGCAGAATGGACTTGGCAGGTGCCATGCGCAGAGCCTTCACGTGCGCCTCGTGGTAGCGGCTGCGGCGGGAGTGCAGGTTGCGGTAGCGTGGGTCACTTTGCCCTACACCATCACCATCCCCATCACCATCACCATGGCGGGAATGGTGGCGCTGCGCGTGGTGGCGTGCGTGGTGCTGTGTGCTCTGCCGATGCAGCCGCTTGGAGCCGCTCCTTGCTGCTGATGGTGATGGCAGGGCGAAGAACAAGCAGGAAGAGCGGAAAGCAAACGTCAGCGAGTGAAGTGAGCGAACAAACGAAAAATAAAGGCAACATGCCTCACACACTGCACTGGAAGCAACACATGGCATGCAACGCATCCTGCTGCAACCACCCACACACATATCTGCCCCAACACACACACACACACACACACACACACACACACACACACACACACACACACACACACACACAAACATTCTGTACCTGCGTGCTGTGCGTGCCTGGCTGTCAGCTCGCGAACACTGGCAGTGCGCCTATTCCGGTGACCACCAGTGGCAGTCGTGGTGGCAGTGGTGGTGATCACATCACCATCATGGTTGTCATCGTTGCTGTCGGTGCGAGCGCTTGCACGCTGCTGCTGCTGCTGCTGCTGCTGCTCGAGGAAGCGGTGAAGACCGGCTGCCGTCGCAGCAGCATCGTCATCATTATCACCATCACCATGATGATGATTGCCATCGTCATTGGCATTGCCACTGCCGTGGTCGTCGTCATCGTCGTCGTGGGTGGTGGCGGCATTGTTGAACCCGTCACTGCCATCACGGCGAGCAGCTGCCGTGGCGACATTGGCAACGGCACATGCGCGCTGTTCCTCGTCGCTGTCAACGACACTGCAGTGTTGAAGCGCCTGCAGTGATGCAGCCTGCACTTCCTTGCTTGCACCTGCAGGTACGCGCACACACAGCGGACAAAGGTGAGCACGCAGTGCAGTGCAGGAACACCCACGCAAAACACGCATGTCACGCACGTATGAGGGGTTCATCAAACCCAACACACACTCACCCACACACACGAACACACACACACACACACACACACACACACACACACACACACACACACACACACACACCTGCGGTTGTTTCTGCCGCGGCAAGCTGCTGCTGGCGCTGCTGCTGGTGCTGTGTTGCAGTTGCTGTCCGCTGTTGTGGGCGCAGTCCCCGCAATGCACGCCCAAGACTCTGCAACGCCTTCTTGTGGCCACGAGGCCGCCGCTTCCTGGCACCACCATCCACGGCCGTGGTCGTCGTGTTGTAGCCCGTGTCTGCATGCACACCTGCGCGTGCTGCCTTGCCTGCGCCCACCAAAGCAGCACCATCGTTATCATCATCACCATCGTCGCTGCTGCTGGGCGCGTCGCTCACCGTCACACCGCTGCTGTCGCTGTTGGCATCGCACACGGACACACCACCACTAACAATGGACGAGGATGGCAGTGTTTTGCTTCGCGCACCAAGCCTGTCGGTCCTCTCATCCTCCTCATCGCTGCTGCTGCTGCTGTCACTGCTGCTTGCGCACGTGACATGGCCGCTGTCAATCGATTGCGTCATGGAGCGCCTGTCCTTGTGCTTGGCGACCGCGGCGGTGGCGCTGTTTGCATTCGTGGTGGCCACCGTGCCACCGCTACCGCTGCTGTTGGGCATGGGTGGTGCTGTCTTGGTGACACCAGCCTCTGCCATCACACCGCCTTGCCGCGCTGGTGACGATGTTGTTGTTGATGATGATGATGATGTTGTTGTTGTTGAGGTTGGCGTGCGCCTGAACGGGTTGACGAGAAGGCGAAGGCCAAATGACGCCCGCAACTTCAGCTTCCTCGTCATGCCACCACCACCACCGCCATTGCCACGGCTGTCACGATCGCCATGATCATTGCTGCTGTTGCTGCTACAAACAGCAGCAACAGCAGCAGCAGCATCGCCAGAGTGACGGGAGTGCTGATGGTTGCTTGCATGCATGTTTGTGGAGCTGCGTGAGCGTTTGGTCAAGCCACCAAACGATGCACGTGCCCGCCTGCGCTCGCCAGGCTGCTTCGCCTGGGTGCTGTTGCTGGGCTTGGGCTGCTGTGTCGCCGCAATCTGCAAGTAGTTGCCGCTTTGCTGCTGCTGCTGCTGCTTCTGGCGCTGGTAATCCTGCTGCAACATGGCCAGGAACGTCATTGCCCCCTCCGTCTGCTCAGCGGCGCTGGCGCCCTTCTTGCGCGATTGCATCATGATGGCGGGCGTGTCCAGCCCAATCTCGGAGTCATCGTCCACCACCTCCTCCGCGACTGTCACGTGCACCGACGACCACCCGCTACCGCTCATCATGGCGTGAGCAGCGCCCTTGCTGTTGCGGCTGCTGCCTGTGCTGCTGTTGGTGCTGTCGCTGGCGAAGAACGTGCTTTGGTCGCTAGCGGCGGCGTGTGTGGAGGGGGAAGGGAGTGCAGAGTCGAAGAAGGAAAACACGTTGGCGCGTGGGCTGGCCTTCCTCTCCTTCACCACCTTCGTGCTGCTGGCACGGCTGGTCGTGTTGCTTGCAGGCAGCGCTTCTGCGCCACTGCGGGAGCTCCTGTCCGTGCCTGCCCTGCTGCTGGCGTTGCTGATGTCTGTGATGGTGGTGGTTGGCGAAGGTGCTGCCATGCGCGTGTGCGACAGCCACGACGATGCATTCGACCCGCACCGTGCACCCTCTTCTGTGCCAGTCACCGTCTCCTCCTCCTGCTGCTGTTGCTGCTGTAGCTGTTGCTGCTGTGAGCTCGCAGCAACAACAACTGCCTCTGTCGTCGTTGCCACTGGCGGTGGTGATGATGGCGCCGAAGTTGAAGACTGCGATGACGGTGACGATACTGCCGAGGACGCTGAGGAGGAGGAAGAGGATGCAAGGGAGTAGCAGCCGGATGAAAAGGACAGGCAGGAGGACTCGGAGGACACGGACTCCGGTCGCCGTTTAAACGCGCTAATCGCCTCCATCAGCGAAGGCGAGATTGGAGGCGGTGGCGATGACGATGATGATGACGATGACGATGATGTGGATGAGGATGAGGAAGTTGAGGCGGCGTGTGGCTGCTTCTTGCTCTCGCTGGTGGAGACGCCGAGCGTGAGGTTGAGCTTGTTGCGGTGCCTGTCCTTGTTGGATGCAGCGGCAGACGCCTTGCCGCCTTGCGTGGATTTGCGTGCTTGCAGGCACAGCTGCGCCACAGCATCCACCCACAGGCCGCTGCCACCACTGACACCACCACCACCACTGCTGCTGCTGCTGTTGTGCGTCTTCTTTGCCTTTTGGCTTGCCAAGTCACCTGCCGCTGCCGCTGTCGTTGTCGCAGCTGGGTTCGTGATGGCAGACACAGATGCAACGGTGACATGTGAGTCTGTCATCATCGCCCTGCCCTTGTCACTGCCGCTGTGCAGTGCCTCTGTGATGTGCACTGCGTGTTGTTGCTTGCCGTGGTGGCTGCGGCGAGCGCGCCCACACAGCGATGCATGGCGCGTCAGGCGCAGCGAAACGGCACGACCAACACCGCCGCCACCTGTGCCTGCAGGCACGTTCTTGGGCCGCGTCGGGGACGACGACGATGACGATGGGCATGACATTGTCACACACGGTGACGACGACGGCGAAGAAGCAGAAGAACCAGAAGAAGACAAAGTGGTGCTGCTGCTGCTGGTGCTGGTGGTAAACATGCTTGTGATGTTCGCGTCACTGTTGGCGTCGCTGCGAGCATGTGCCGCCTGCTTTGTCGTGCGGGAGGGAGAGCGACGTAGGCTGATCCTGTTGTAGCTGCCGCCACGCTGCCGCCGCTTCACAGACTTGCGTGCAGGCAAGACAACCGGGAAACCCGCAGTGGTGGCGGCGTTGTTGCTGCTGTTGCCGTTGCTGTTGCTGCTGCTGCTGCTGCTGCTGCTGTGGTTGTTGTTGTTGTTGTTGTTCCGGCTGCACGCGTGATCACCAGCTTCGCTGTCAGTCTCATCATCATCATCATCATCATCCTCACTGCTGCTGCTGAGGGTTGCAGTGCGCGGGTTTGGGAGCGGGGGCGAGTCTGAATGGCTGAAGGTTGCGTTGCTCGAGGACGCCAGCGACGATGGGGATGGGGATGCGGACGTTGTTGGTTGTGGGGCCGTTGACGGTGCTGCTGATTGAGCCGTTGGTTGTGCTTGGGGTGGTGGTGGTGTCGCTAGGCTGTCATTGGTCTGCCAGAGTCGAACCAAGTCGGCAACGCTCGCCTTCTGCTGATCATCCTCACACCCGCCCTTGACCACGCCATTGCTCTCGCCACAGCCACGCCCCGTGTCACGCCTCTCATCATGGATGTCATCATCATCATCATCATCACCATCATCATCTTCAGCGGTTATGCCGTCGTTGTGAATACGCCTGCCACTGCCGCTGGTGTTGCCGCTGTCTTGGTCTGCGACGACGGCGCTCATGATGGTGAAGAGCGATTGGCCGCGGCGGCGACGGCGAGATGCGCTCAACGCTGATCGCAACACGGGCACATCACTGCCATGGTCGTCATGGTCGCTGTTGTCGCCGGCACCGCCATCAGCATGGCTCCCTGCCTTGCGGCTGCCATTGTCGCTGACACTAATGTGGGCGTCATGTGCGCGCGAGACCGCTGACAGCTGCATGGCCGGTGTGCTGGAGGAGTGAGGGAGGCGTGGCGCGGTGTTGGTGCGTGCCTCCATACCCATTGACCCAGCACGAGTTGAGGTTGAGGTCGAGGTGGCTGATAGTTGTGACGCGGGTGCGCCAGGCTGCACCCTCAGCCCTGCGCGTGGGTGGCTCCTGCTGGCCGACACGAAAGGCGAGGACGACGATGATGAGGATGATGGTGAGCCATGCGCAGGTGTCGAGCTCGTTGCCCTGGCTGTTGTGGATGTCGTAGGCGTTGCGGTGTCGGTGGCGTGTCTTGGTTGTCCCTTGGGCGCAGGCACGGTGGCGCCCGTCGCATCTGGGCCCTGGCGTCCCTTTGTGGCAAGCATGCTGTGGTTGCTGCTGCTGTTGTTGCTGTTGTTGCTGCTGCTGCGGCTGTTGCTGTGCTGGTGTTGGAAGAAGAACCGCAGACACGCTTACTCACAGCTGCCTCGGGGCGACTGGGAGGTGTGTGTGTGTGGTGGGGGGGGGGGGGGAGGCTGTGTGTGTATGGGGGAGGGAGTATGTGTGTAGTGCTGTGTCTCGCTGGTCACGGCTGCTCGTGCAGTCGTGCGTGTGCGTGTGTGTGATATGGGTTGGTAGGTGAATGAGGACCTGTGGTTGTTGGTGTTGTCTGCTGTGTCTTCTGCTGCTGCTGTTGTGACAAACAAGACGCAACCAACTCTGCGCACCAGACAAACAAACACACACTCGGCACACATACGCACAAACACACACGACACACACACACTCACAAACACAGCCACTGTGGTGGTGTTGTTGGTGAGGAATGCAGCCGGCAAGGCAATCGGGGAGCCAGCACAGCAACGCTGGCCTGGTGTCGCATGCCAGTTTCACATCATGTTCCTCGTGTCACATCAGGGCTCGACGCATTGCATACTTGCACCAATGAACGTGGCCACTCTCTCGTCACCCACTTGGCTGGCCCACAGCCTTTTCAACAACAACACCCCAGCAGCAAAGGATGCCCGCCACATCTCCTCACTCCGCGCGACCAAGCATGTGCATTTGGGCAAGACGAGTGCCATTTGCGAGCCATGACTGTGCCACCATGCCAGTGACCGGCGCCCCTGCCAGGCAACCACGCACGACAACACATCCATGCAGTGCATGCCAATCACTGACAGCCGCATTCCGCCTGGCTTGCTTGCTCGCACACTTCAGTTTTATGCTGTTGTGTACAGGGGACGACAGTACGTTTGCAAATTGCACGCTAAAGCCAGTTGGGCGTGGTTGCGTTGCTCTTCCTCTGCTGCTTCTGTGGTGCGTGGGTGGCTCGGCTTTGCAATTTGCAGCTGGGGAGATGCCCTTTTTTTGCGCCCACACACGCCAAGTTTCCATTGAAGGGGGCGGAGAAGGGGATGTTGTGTGAGCGCGCGTTTTGTCGGGCATCTTCCACAACTTGTCTGCAAAATAAGAAAAATGGAGTGCGGAAGCCGCACAAAACACAGCACACCAACAAAACAACGCCAACAAAGCGTGAACTCTCTCATCGAAGGTTGGTTGGTTGGTTGGTTGCTTGTTGTTGGCTGCGTGGGAGGAACGAGAGAGGCACGAGAGAGAGAGCAAGAACCACCCCCCCCCCTCCTGTTGTTGTTCGTGTGTTGTGGTGGGTGCAGCACTCCTCTTTCCTTTGCTTGGTTCGTTGAGTGTGTTTGCGTGTGTGTGTGTGCGTGTGTATGTGCGTGTGTGTGCGTGTGTGTGTGCGTGTGTATGTGTTTGTGAGTGAGTGCGCGCGTGTGTGTATGTGTGGTTTTTGCAACCACCGCCCCCCTTTTTCGCGGTCGTGTGGGGTTGATTGGTTTCGCTGGTTGGTTCGAGAACGGCATCCGTCCGCAAGAGCACACAGCCACACACGCGCGCATACACACGCGCGCCACACCCGCACACACACACACACACACGCACACACATCCTTGTTGGTGTGTCCCGTGATCCCTTTTCGTGGTGTCCGCTGAAGCCAACCCAATTGTGTGTGTGCGTGTTACTCACACACACACACACACACACACACGCAAACACACACAAACACACACACACACACACACACAACTCTCTCGATTGCTCTTCGTGCGCACCCATGCCACCGCTATTGGTTGTCGCAGGTGCATTGTGTTTCCCACACGGACGCGCCTCTGTTGGCTTTGCGTGTTCCCGCCCACCGCGTTGTTTCAGGTGAGAAGACCGTTCCGTGTGCCATGGCAGTGGCTGGGCATCTGCTGTGTCGATGCCCCAGAAGGACAGTGTCCCAACGTTGCGTGGCTTGATGGTGGTGGTTGGTGATCTCGTCTCAGTGTGCTGTCCGTTTCAGGTGCCGGTGGTGATTCCTTGTTGTTCCTTGTGGTTGTTGTTATGACACGCAAGCGGACACCCAGAACACAAGCATACGACAAGATGGGATTGAATCACTCCACTCATCACCACCATGTCACTGTGCTATTACCGACTTTGCTTGTCCGCCATCTCTCCTCTCATCACCATCGTCACGCGCAAAACACACACACACACACACACACACACACACACACACACACACACACACACACACACACACACACACACACACACACACACACACACACGTGCGCGCGCGCAATCTCTCTCTGCAACCCTTTTCTATCTTGTTCAGGTGTTGGTGCAACTGCAAGCGGTCCGGTCTCCCTTTGAGTGCTGATCGACGTCTTCGCACAGCACACGTTCGAGCGGCCCTCCCTTCCCCGTCTCTTCTGTTCATCGCGCACCACCCCCTCCCTCACACACAAAGGACATCACCGACCATGGGTTGCAAAAACTCAAAACCAGCATCGGTGCGTGCGCACGGACAACGTGAACTGACTGCGTGTGCACCAAGTGATTTGCCCACGTGCCGCGCGCGCACACACATGTCCACACAAGACAATACTCTCAAACAAGCTTTCATACACACGCACACACACACATTCACACGTGCATCTGCAAGCAATCACACGTAACACTCACACCAACATATTCACACACTGCACACACATCACACACACACATATCACACGAACACTCACACCATCATGTTCACTCACACACCGCACACACACACGCGCTACAGAACTACCCGACGGGCGTACCCAACGGCAATGGAGCACACGGGTTTACAATGGACAGCATGGCGCAGCCGCCAGCGAGCACGGTGCCGAGCCAGTTCAACAGCCCGCCCGCACAGCTGCCGCAATCCCGCCACTCGTCCATGGGCAACTCCATGTCCCAGGCATCATTTGGCACCCCGACACAACGCCCGTACGTTTGCTTTGTGGCTGTTGTTGCTGCTGGTGCTGCTGCTGGTGCTGCTGTCGCGTGTGCGTGCGTGTGTGTGTGTTCGAGTGCGTGCACCCGCATGTGTGGGTGTTGACGGTACTGATTGCACCACATCTTTACTCCCTGCATGACCGCGTCGTCGGAGCTTGTACCCCCTCGCCTGTCCATGTTCGCTCACACACACACACATCTCACACACACACACCTCACACATGCTCACATGCATACACCTCACCCTCATACACTGCACTCGCGTGCTTCCCCCCCCCAACAACATGCGCAGTCTGCCGCAACCGCCTGGCCAGGCCGCCGCCCCCGTGCAGCAGCAAGACAACCTCTACGTTGCCCTCTATGACTACGACGCACGCACTGCCGACGACCTCACATTCCACAAGGGTGCGCACACTCCCAACACAACCTTGCTTTGTTCCCGTGCGTGCGTGCGTGCTTTGGATATGTGCACTTTTCACTTTGTACGTGTGTGCGTGTGCGCGTTGCGAACGTTGTGGCCTTGTCGTGGACTGCGTGTAGCTTACATATCAGTGCGTGTTGCGGGCTTGTGTTTGAGTTGTGTTTGCTTTTCGCGTCCTGTCTCCTCCTCACCAAATCAATTCATCATCCTTCCCCCCCTCCTCACCACCACAATCGCCATTCCCATTCCCATTCCCATGCTCGACAATCAGGTGACGAGATGGTGATTATGAACAGCAGCGATGGCGACTGGTGGCAGGCAAAGCTCATCACCACGGGCCAGATGGGTTACATCCCAAGCAACTACGTCGCACAGAAACAGGTGTGTGTGTGTGTGTGTGTGTGTGTGTGCGTGTGTGTGGGCGTGCGTATGTGTGGGCGTGCGTGTTAACGTGTCTGCATGTGTGTGTGTGCTCTTATGTGCACGTGTAAGGGCTGTTTTGCATATTCACACATGCTTCCGTGCATGCTTGTCCGTGCGTCACTTATCGTTGACACCGCGCACCGACACCGTTCAATTCATCCCCCCCCCCTCGAATCACAGAGCATCCAAGCAGAGGAGTGGTTCCACGGCATGATCAAGCGCGCAGAGGCGGAGAAGGTGCTGCTGCACAACGGCTCGCACGGCGATTTCCTCATCCGCGAGTCCGAGTCGAAGCCCGGCGACTACTCGCTCTCCATCCGCGAGGGCGACAACGTTAAGCACTACCGCATCAGAAAACTCGACGACGGAGGTGCGTTACGCTGGTGACACTGATGGTGATATTGGTGGTGGTAATGGCGCCTGTTGGTGGTGGTAATGGTGTTTGTTTGTTCGTTTGTTCGTTTGTTCGTTTGTTTGTTCGTTTGTTTGTTCGTTTGTTCGTTTGTTCGTTTGTTCGTTTGTTCGTTTGTTCGTTTGTTCGTTCGTTCGTTCGTTCGTTCGTTCGTTCGTTCGTTCGTTTGTTAGTTTGTTTGTTTGTTCGTTTGTTTGTGTGCACATTGTGCATTTTGAGTACGTGTGTGTCTTGTGCGTTGATGGTTTCATTTCCCGCCTTGTACTGTTCGTCTGCTTGCCTCGTTTCACCCAACACACCTCGCCTCCCTCCCGAATCCCCCCGCCTCGTGGCTTCGTATTTTTGCCTGCAGGCTTCTACATTACGCGCCGCGCGACGTTCCGCAACCTGCACGAGCTCGTGAGCCACTACCGCCTCAAGGCCGACGGCCTGTGCACGTCGCTCAACAAGGCCGTGCGCCCGCTCACACAGGTCGCCCCGCCCGACCTTTCCCACGACACAAAGGACCAGGTACACGGCCCCTCTCGCTCGCTCTTGTGTTCTCAGGGTGTATATGCTGGTCATGTTGTGCTCGCGGGCGTTTTGTACGTCATGCGTGTCGTATGTATGCGTGTGTATGTGCGTGTGTGTGACTTATTTCCCCCTCTCTTTTCGTGCTGTATCAGCCCCGCTTGCACCGCGCCCCATTCACCCCTACTCACCCCTGTTGTGTTGTAACTGCTGCCTTGTCCACGCTTGTGCGCGTGTGTGTGCAGTGGGAGATTCCACGGGAGTCGCTGCGGTTGGAGAAGAAGCTTGGCTCTGGGCAGTTTGGCGACGTGTGGAAAGGGTTTTGGAACAACACCACCCCTGTTGCTGTCAAGACGCTCAAGCCAGGCACCATGTCACCCTCGGAGTTCCTTCGCGAGGCGCAGATTATGAAGAAACTGCGCCACCCGAAGCTCGTGCAGCTGTACGCCGTCTGCACAGACAAGGAGCCAATCTACATTGTCACAGAACTCGTGAGTACAAGTTTTTGGGAGGAATAGAGGATGGGGATGGGGATGGAGATACTGTGAGCTGCCGCAGGTGGTTCTAGTGATGATGATGATGATGATGATGATGATGATGATGATGATGATGATGATGATGATGATGATGATGATGATGATGATGATGATGATGATGATGATGATGATGATGACATGGTGCAGCGCATGTGCACGCGTGCGTCGCAACCATCATTGCCCTTTTGCCATCATCCCCTCGCTCACACCCCTACACGCGCTCGCTCACATCCATACACGCACCCTGTCGTTTCTCACACCACCAACGCTGCTGCGTGTGGCATTCATTGTGCATGCGCACAGATGAAGCACGGCAGCCTGCTCGACTACCTGCACGACAAGGGCCGCGCGCTGCGACTGCCGCAGCTTGTCGACATGG